TCAAAATGGAAAATCTCTGGCACACCGTGATGTGTCGGCCTTTTTCTTAACCCACGCTATTCATTAATCTGGAGAAAACACAGAAAGCACATTAAAAGGAAGAAAATCCTGTATCTAGTTCAGTGGCCGAGAATCTACGAAAAAAGAGAGAAAGCAATCAACATCCAAAAATTTGCATGCGAGAACATTTTTATGTTTTGCATCTACAAGGATTTACAGATAGAGAAGAAAGAAAGATAGAAAGAAGTCTAACAACCACAATATTTCATATTTGGCTTAATGCTGAGCACTGAAAATGATAAAACATGTAGCCATAAAATCAGTTTTATGAAGAATGTTTTCAATTTGTTTTAAATTTGCTTTAAAATAAAGGTATATAAATATTTATTTTCAATTGATACTTTCTGTTAAGCGGAGAATCTAATGAGTAATTATTGAAACGTGTGTCCAGGTGGCAAATTTGAAATAAAACCAGTAAAAATTTAGACATCATTGTCTCTTCCAACAGGATTAATTCCCAAAAATATGTGACCTAATCAACACAGAAATGGTTCACGAGACACAAAGTCAACTTTTTTGCAACCCCACCTCACCATGATGGAAAAATAATCTGTCAGTTAAGCTGAGGAGAAAACAAGAGGTGAATCTGCATGAGAGGTTGCACAAAGAGGAATAGTCAAAGCCTTTTAAGTGCTCAGGCCAAACAGAGGAACTGCAATGCGAATTATATATATATATATATATATATATATATATATATATATATATATTATATATATATATATATATATATATATATATATATATATATATATATAATATATATATATATATATATATATATATATATATATATATATATATATTCTCTGGCACACTGGTTTTATATATATATATATATATATATATATATATATATATATATATATATATATATATATATATATATATATATATATATATATATATATATATATATATATATATGTTTTCTACTGTGCATGTTGCCATTGTTTAGGTATTTGTTTTTCTTTCAAGCAGTCAAATGTCTTCCATGACCTGTCTCTAAATGATCTAGAAAGCTTAGTAGCTATTTGTGGAGCCACATGAGTCTGGAGATTCCTGTTTTAGCCTTTGCCTCGTGCCATATTGGAAATGTTGTAGTCATTTACTGGTTTAATTCATCAGGCCTCTAGAAGTCAATATGGGTGGAATGCAATTATCTAGAAGTATATTGCTGTCATTCATGACAGCAAATGACTAATATTTTGCCAGTGATCAAAACTTTTAATATCATGTTATCTGACTACCGTTGCCATTTTTTAACCTTCCTGGTTTTTTTTACATTGAGTTAATCAAATTTATTTGGGGCAGCAGAACAGTGAGACTTGTGCAAGGGATGTAAGCAAGGGAAACACAAATGTTCATCCGACCACTCTGTACCTTTTAACAGTAACATGTTTTTAAAGATGACATTGCCTGAAAGGCAGGGAGGGACTTTAGGGACTCTTTTCAAGATTTAAATCTAAACTGACATCATTCATCTCTTACCTGTCTCAACCAGATCAACTGAAACTTCTTTGAAAACAATAACACGAAGCGCTTCTGCTCCCGAACTCAACATATTAACAATACAAAGAGATGACGGCGCGTACAAGCTGCCAAAAATTGGCACACCATGTTTTCCACTGTATATAGCTCAAAACTGCAGTATTTACAATGAAGCTGTTTAAAAATTAAAACAATAACACACTAACATTAGGGACCATTTGAGACTAAGCAAAACAAAAATGGCCATGGAAGAGTACATTTCTGGAAAAAAAATAAACATGTTTAGAGATCAATTTTACATTTTATAAGGAAAAAAACGTTGAAATTTACTCAAGAAAAACTGTTTTTCTTTTTTATTAATTAAAGACATCAATTTCTGACATTAAACCAAGAAATTCTCAGGAATGTTTGAAAGAAAACTCTTCACTGAAGTTCATATTTGCAAATGTTACTGTCTTTAAAACGCTTGATAAAAATCAGTCAGGACTTTGTAAGCTTCTAATAGGTTGACAACTTTTGAGCTAAATGGGGCACACCGTTAACGTAACACCGTAAACGTCCCGATTTCTTCTGTGACTATATGGGAGACTCCAGAGAACTCTGGCAAATAAAATCACAAGTCTGATTCATCCTTGGACACAATGCCTGAAGGTGCCACCTTCATTTGTTTCACCAACTATGTGCAAGTATGACTGGCCACTACATGGAAGAATTCAGTGTTTTGATGAGACGTGCATATCATCCTCAAGTCTGAGTCTTGTAAAGACACTGGCTGACGTAAGTATCATTATTGAAAGTAAAATGCTGTAGCGACATAAGTTGAAAGATTGCTCAAAGAAGAAGCCATTACTTCAAAAGCCACATAAAGGACAAGATTATAATAATTTTTTTTTACAGGGATAAGGCATTAATATAGTCTGAACCTTGATTGCATTTTGAGGAAAAGTATAAAAACTGGAGCACCTTCTCATATTCAGCCAGGATAACCAATACCAACAAGTTGATTAAAGTGGATTAAGGACAGCAAAATTACTATTTAGTAGTGGCTGTTTCAATGACCTCGTTTCAGTTGCTGAAACCTTGTGTGTAAGCAGGGCAGCAAACAAATATGATTCAGTTTCATCAGTTCTGGCAGAATGCATTTGTCAGAATTAGAGCAAACTGTTGTGAGAAACTTTTATAATCCAATAAATAATAATAGAATAGAATTCATACATGCTTGATAGAATTCATACTGTTTAAAATGGAAATACATAAAAATACAGAGGAATTATGTAATAAAAATAGACTAAGTTGAGAAAGAATTTTTGAAATGCTCTTTTTATAATTCTGGTATTTAGAAAAAAACATTAATTTTGGTAGTCTGGTCAAATATTCAAGTCTAATTTGATGTTAGAAAGTAAAAAAACAAAAGTGTTTGTAAATTATTGCTTCGATCTTACTAGTTTTCTATTCAAGAGTTTTATGTACAAAATTTTATTTACGGAAATTAAATTGTCTAACTTTTCTTAGTATTTATTAAGTTCATAACAAGTTATTATCCTCTGATGTTCTGACAGGCAGAGTTTGGCATGCAAACTGTTAGCAGCTAAATAGCTAATAAAGAGTATATACACATCAAGACACTTTTTAAAAATACCAAAACTGTGTTGTCAAGAACATTAAAAAAAAATGTAATGATGTAAGATACAGTGTGATATATTCTGGAAGTTTCCAGCACTGGAAGAACTGCTCAATAGACGTGCCACAGACACTGAGGTCATAAACAAACCTTCCAGTTCTCTACATAGTAAGATCACAAATATTCTGAATATTTTTTCCCTTACAAGGCGTCTTTCACATCATTTGTTTTCAGTGACCTATCCTAATGGTGTTTTCCCGAGGACAGTCGTCTAAAAGCAAAATTCAACCTGTTAGTGGAAGGGGAGAGAAAGGATTCAAAAGGAGGAGCCGTGCCCATTGCATTTATGCAAACCCTCTGCCCTACCTCTGTGTTGCATTGTTTTAATGTCAGTGAAGCAGAGTGTATGCACCGCAGGTGGTAAAAGGATCACTCCTCTTCTCGCTGGGTCGCTGGTACCTACACCTTAAATAAGCCATGATGTATTCACATCCAAAACACTGTAAACTATTTGTACTTTACATGCGCTATTTAGAACAGTGAACATCTTCCTAAAACAGAAAAAGATGGCAAATTCTGGAGTCGGGAGAGATTATTTTACGATTGTAGCTGTACCGTATGGTGATAGTAGATCACCGTTGAGTCTAAAGCAAGCCTTGCTGTGATCTTTCATAGTAAGCTGAAAGATCACGTCTGATCTTTCATCTTACCATGGGGGTAGCTGCTGCTTTACGATGCCTAATCAGAGACCCTAAGGTGTCGCTCCTGCTAATTCCCGGGCCTCCCCCTTCTTGTTGACTCCTAACTGTCTCACACCTCGAGGAGGGACTATTATTGTGTCAGAAGGTCCCACTTCCCATCAGGGGAAAGCCTCACTCCATGAATATCCAATGTTTTACTGAACATGGAGTTCACATACAGACACAATTAATTGTCGCAGATGGTTCCAAAGTTTTAATCCAAAACAGTGCAAAACATATTAAGCCCTACCTTATATATATATATATATATATATATATATATATATATATATATATATATATATATATATATATATTTTTTTTTTTTTTTTTTTTTTTTTACAAGAAGTCAATTGAAATATAATAGTTTTAGTCTGCCCGCATGATTGGATTAAATTGACTATATATTTCTGTGTATTAATTTCATTAATTTTCTTCATGAAGTAGGTCGAGATTACAATTTTAGAGAATGAAAGTCATTTAAATATCTGTCCAGGGGTATCCAATTCCCCTTTAGACACCACCACTAGCATAATGCATTCTGAAACTACAGACTAAAAAATATATGTTTGTGCAGCAAGCATGACTCTGAAACTATCACTGCACCTGTAATCTGAGGGAAGAATAACTCAACAAACAAGTCTCGTTAACAAACAGAAAGGAAGACGTGTGAATCGTGGCCAAATAAGAGAACTGCTAGCTTAGATTTGCAATTCAACAAGGAAGTAAAATATTAAATATCTGAACCGGTAAGCCCAAAATGATTCATACTCCTGAGCTTTAGGTTTAATCCCTTAATTTCACAAACACTTTTCTTCTGAATGCAAGTAATGTTAACATTTTACAGAAGCAGAGGCAGCAGAAGGGTATACTTAATTTTAAACATGGCATTTTAAAATAAAAATTTAAATGGCTTGTAAGCCTATCTTAAACCCTTTACGTCTAAATTAAAATAAGTTGTGTTGACATTCAACGCAAGTATTGGAAGATATTTTGAAAACTATTTAGCAATTTTATAAAGCATTGGCGCCCCCTACTGTCAAATGAAACTATTGCTCTAGAAAAAGAAGCACAAAAGTAAACTGAAATTTGTTTTAAAATTTATTGACCAACACGAAATGTGTACACTATTTATATATATTACACTATATAAGTTAACATCTAGAAAGAGATGGAAAGTTTTCCTTTGAATGCAAGTATTAAGCTACCTTTATAACAAAGTAACACATTCAAACTACTAAAGTAAATCTGCCCCATTTCAGGTATGTATTCATAAAGGAAATAAATCCCACAAATATTTAAGATATTCTGGGTAAAGAAAGAATTCTCTCCTCTCATCCGTTAAAAATAAATTTTAAATAAACAAACAAGGCCTATAAACAATGTTGTGATGCATTAAAACTTATGGGTCATTGGCACTTGGACAGAATCTCTTGACAGCTCTTGTAAACCTTCGCTAAGCAGTTGAGCCTCGGCTTGGAGCTCTGAAAGATACAGACGGGACAGTCATCATGACATATTCCTGTTAGTCCTGCTAAATGTGATATCTGCCTGAACAGACTTTGAGTTCACCTGGAACAATGGGACAACACTTGAGACTACATTGGGTTCTGAAGGCTCCTTTAACAGCACACACAGGTAGTAGATGATCTGATTCTAAAATAAAAAGCACAAATAACCATTTAAAAGAGTTCCTGTAGACATACAAAAGACTATGTTTCCTGTTTTGCAGCATGAACCCACTCACCAGATAAACAGCTTCATTGATGACAATGTCTTTGATCCTGCTCATCTCGATGAAAGTGGTGACCTCGCGACCTGACGCGTAGCTGGAGGACACCTGGATGCCCAGGGAGCCAATGACAAGAAGAGACTCGTGGTCCACCTTCACAAAGTGGATGTGAAGCATCATGCCGGCGAGGGTGATGAGAATAGCACTGGAGAGAACTGCTGTGTTCTGCAGGAGAGAGAGACAGCGAGGTCCATGAAGGCGGTAAAGTAACAGCAGCACAGCTTATTACAAGGACTTAGTTATATGTATACGCAGTGTTTCCCCCTTTGCATTATAAGCCTGGCAGGCCACCAGGCTTTACTTGAGTCCCCATCAGGCTTAGCATCGCTTATTGACGCAGGATCTTTTTTAAACGTTTGCATTTTTAAAGAGTTTATAGATGGTGTTCGGATATTAATCTTCCTTTCTTCCAATAACACATAATAGTCAAGTGATATTTTCAAATTTTCTGTCAACATTAAACATTTTTAAGCTCAAAAACACAGCTGCTGGATGAATTACTGCAGACTTAGCAAGTTTTCTGGGGAAAAACCTTGTGTATGTGGTAATATTTATGACATTTTAAACTGTATTCAGAGTAACTAAGTAAAGATCTCTCATTAGATTTAGACTAAAAATAAAAAGCCTTGCGATTGTGAGATCTGGTCAACATTAAGTGATCATTGAAACACACCGTCTTACCTCTGTGAAGAAGAACACAGCATAAGCAAAGAGCCACACAGAGCAAGTGTACGCCATCACTTTGCCGATGGACATCTTAGGGGAGCTAACAGTGAACTCCCTGCAAAAGCTGGAGTGGGTCTGACAATCCAGGGATATCGCCTTGCCGCTTATATTAGAGAAGGCTTCGTCCTCCATTGCGGGTGAAAGTAATACAGAGTGACAGACGAAGAAAGGCGAGCATTGAGTGATTTATCGGAGCTAAAGTTAGCAGCAAGCTAACGTCTGGCTAACCTTGGAGCCAAGGTTAGCAGCAGGCTATGCTAACAAAAGGTTGTAAAACTTAACGACGGGGAAAACGCCAATTGAAGAATAACAGTGGCTCCCATCAAAACATAAAGGGGGAAAAGAAACTCCGCAATTTTATATATTAAATAGCTATGTCAGAGATTGATGCGGTGATGCTGGTGGTAAAAAAAAATAAATAATCAATCTTCTTCTTCTTTAAATTTTAACGGGAGCTTGCATCCATTATTGTTGCACTACTGCCATCTGTTGGGTCTATCTATATCTATACATCAAATTCTCATAATGATCCCAGTATTTTTTTTCACTAAAAATCTTTTTTTGATCAACCACATTCTCAAATCTCAATTCCCTATTAAAACCCAGTTCCGTCTTTAATAATCTTCTTGGATTTACATATCTTTCTTTTACAACTAATAAAAACATGTTTCATTGTTTCTACACACCAACTACATAAACCAGGTAAGGTGTTTCCTCATCTTAAAAAGAGTTCAGACATTATTTTTAAATACTGCTGAATAATCTGATAAAAAAAAACCTCCACGGGACTTTTATTTTATTTGTTTCTAAATATACTATTGGCATTTCAAATAACCATGGAGCAATTTCAGATTTAATTAGTTTTCCAGCATGCTATATTATTTACCCCCAAAGGATCTGCATAAATATTCCCTTCCCATCCAAAACCCCAAATGTTATGGCCACACTTCCCAACATTCTCTGAATACTTGTTTTGAGGGGTGCTTTTCCTCATGCACTTGTACATTTAACCAATAATCTTTTGACAGTTTCATCCACCTCAAGTCCAGTGGCTTTTCTCCTGCAGCCACCTGAAAAATCAATCTTCACTTTGGGCGCAATGTTTTACACACCGGCGCGTCCAGAATCGCAGCTGTAACTAAAGCGGCCCTTCACCGTGCTTTATCAAGGAACCACAATTTAATAGTTAGCAACATGAATTAGCACAATATAAATGTACCTTCATCACATGATCTATCATGGGTTCAGTCACAGACACAGCGTTGACATTAAAAGGATAATACGCTGGACGTCCGCCACAATGTGAGTGGCAAATTCAAACACACAAATTTGTACGTGGATCAATTGTTTTTATGTACAATATTACTATAACAACAGACTATCAATTTCTCGATGTACTTGTTTTATTTTAATTTTATTTTCTTCTAACAACCAGGCTACATTACTAAAATTGTTGTACCACTATATATACTTTAAATTGCGTGTAGTTTAGTGTATTTATCACTGATGCTGTGAATTTCCCTTCTCACCGACAGCTGTTTTATTTTCACGCCCCGCCGCCGCGTTATTCGGTGTACGCCGATGTATAACACAAACAAACCGTACAGCAGCTGTGAGGCGCAAAGCATTTCGGGTAGCAGGAAATGTTCCAGCTGGATCGTCAGAAAGTTTTTTTTAATTCGCTTTTTGCAACTGTTATTAGAGTTTAAGCAGGAACTAAATTGCTTTGATTTCACGATAAATTAAAACGATGCCGACTCTCCCTTCGAAGTGAATTGGGTCGCAACACACAAAACAAACAAACTATATTTCCCATGGTGCACTGCGTTTAACGCTGACTCTTGACCCTTGTGTAAAAACAAGCCGATCAGCTGCAACAACATCTACCCAGTGGCTGCCGATGCAGCGTAGCTTAGCTTTGCCGACGGGGTAGCTATATGTGGCAGTAGGCAGGATGGTCCCGGACGGCAGACGGGTCCAGTTCTAGACCGAGTCCAGCCAGCGTCTTCAAGCTGAGAACCGTTCGACGAGCGGGTGAGAACTGCTAGATAAACTGACTGAAATTAGGCTTGTTTGGGTTGTCTCTTTGTGTAGTAGCTGCTGTTAGCTTACGGCTGTTTATTATTGAGGACCCTGACTTGAAACTTAGCACCATCTGGGGGCCGCCGCGTTTCTTAATGTTACCTAACAGATTTTGATGTCATCATAAAAAATTATATTTAACAGGCTTGGAAAGTGTCTCCTACCACTGTTGTACATGAGACTGAGTTGTGTTTATCAATAATAATAATAATAATAATAATAATAATAATAATAATCAAATTACCTTGTTATTTATAAGACAAATATTAACTTTCACGTCATAGATGCGTCATAGATTCCTCTAAATGTTCCCTAAATACAATGATTAGCTTTCCATTCAGATCAACAAAGAGCATCGGTAAACATCAGCTTAGCTCCACCCATCTTCCCATCAACTCTGTTCCCATTAGAAAACAGTCTTATGCTGCCATGTGTGCTCATTTGAATTTGCAGTATTTTTCTTCTGCCGCATATGGAGTTTCTACATGTTTTCCTCAAAAGCTTAATATTGGTGTCATCTGAATAGAACCCCTCCTCCGCATGTTTGCTGTGTCTCCTACATGGCTTGTGATAAACTTGTAACAAAGACGACAAAGAGATACGGTTCTCTCATAAAGAGCAGATGTGAGGAATGCATAACCAATATCGTCCTGTCAGCAGATTCTCCCACCTGAACTGTGGATCTGTGCAGATTGTCAGGAACCTGCTTGTTAGCTGCTGTTTGCCCCTCCAAAACATCGTAAACTCTTGGGTTAACACCTTCTACTGAATTTGAGAGAAGTTGGTTAAATTGCATTTGATTTGGTGTTATCAGGATTAAAGGGATGAAAACAAATGGAATCCACACTTTTCAGATAATCTTGTGGTAAAAAGGAAAAACATATATAATTTCATTTCACTTCAATAATGTATCAATAATCTTGCTGCTTCTCTTCAAAGGTCTGAGTTTTTTAAATATTAATAAGCACATTCATTTTCCAGTTTATTAAGGGATTCAATCTGACATTTCAGGTCTACCATGAGTGGCCAAAGTCCGGCGGTGGATAAAGGAATGAACACAGTGCTGGTCTGCCAGGAGAGCTACGCCTGTGGAGGGTCAGACGAGGCTGCGTTCGAATGCGATGAATGCGGCAGCTTGCAGTGCGCCCGCTGTGAACTGGAGCTCCACCGCCAGGAGCGCATGAGGAACCACGACCGGGTTCGGATCACGGCGGGTCACGTTCCCTTCTGCGACGCCTGCAAAGGTGACAACAGCTGCGCCGGCAGACTCAGAGCGGTGGTGCGCTGCCAGGGCTGTAAGATCAACCTGTGTTTGGACTGCCAGAAACGCACTCACGGCGGCGTCAACAAGCGGAAGCACCCTCTGACGCCCTATCCGCCCGCCAAGGCTCCTCACGAGAGCAGCGTGGCCGATGGGGAGTCGGAGATGGAGATCCTCAAGTCGAAGCTGGAGAAGGTGTGCAGCTTCCTGCTGGTTGATGAGAGGGAGGAAATGCAGGTAATAGCCATAAAAGCTTTTTTTTTTTTTTTCAACAGCAGCTCTTTATTTTTACATCATATAAGCGCTTCAACTAATGATCATTTTAGTAATTGAATATTCTGACTGGATAAAAAAATTGGCACATTCTCGAGAATTTTTCTTCAATCAGATAAGCCCTTTTTTTTACATTTATATGACCTCATGCTAAAGGATGCAAATAAACAATCCAATTCCAATTTTAAATAAAAAAACAAAAACATTTTATTGCCTAAAATGCAACATTGAATTAGAACCGGGTAAAGCTAAAATTAAGCCACTCAAGGAATGCAAAATGCATTATGAGGGGTATGAGTCTTTATACTCCAGTTATCGATTAATCGATTACTAAATTTGTTGACAATTATTTTAATAATCGAGTCATCATGATTAATGGAGCCCGACATGATATCATAATTGATATGATCTAATGTGGATTCTCAGGTGAAGAATGAGGAGGACTTTGTCAGCAGACTTGGCTGCACCCCTGATGAGCTCCTCAAGGTGGTCTCCATCTTTGGCAACACCGGGGAGGGCAAATCTTACACCCTGAACCACACCTTCTTTCTTGGAAGAGAAGTGTTTAAGACCTCCCCCACACAAGAGTCTTGCACCGTTGGCGTTTGGGCAGCTTTGGACCCTATCCACAGAGTTGTAATCATTGACACAGAGGGTTTGCTTGGGGCCGGTATGGGACAAATGATTTAATTGTAGTTATTTGCTTACCACCACTGTCACCTGGCCTTTGTTAACCTTTTTTTTTTTTCACTCATCAGGAGCTAACCAAGGTCAGCGAACGCGTCTTCTTCTGAAGGTCCTGGCTGTTTCTGACGTGGTTATCTACAGAACACATGCGGACCGCCTCCACGACGATCTCTTTAAGTTCCTCGGAGACGCGTCGGACGCCTACCTGAAACACTTTACAAAAGAGCTGAAGGCAACAACGGCACGCTGCGGTCTGGACGTTCCACTGTCAACGCTGGGTCCAGCTGTGATTATTTTCCATGAGACCGTCCACACCAAGCTTCTAGGATCAGGTATCTAGCCTGCCAGATTAGATTTGAATGAAATAATTTATTACATCGCTTCAGGTCAAGTGTAAAAAGTCTTAACTTTATGTCTGAAATTAAGGCCTTGAAATACCTTAAATTCATTTTAAAAAGTAAGTTGGCCTTAAATATGTTGGGCAGAGGTCTTAAATTTTGTCTTGGTAATACTATTTACTTACATATATTGTATCTATTTTTTTTTAACGGGACTTTTCTGTCAGGAAAAATTTGAGTCACGCACAAATGTTTTCATTGTATTTGGAATTGAAAACTGTACTGACCTCCCAGTCAGTAAAATCAGTTGCATCGCCTCCCCATGTCAGAGCAACTGGGAGCAACTCTGACTACCTCAAGTTACGACTTGCGTTTCAATATGGCTGCTTCTCGCATCAACAGCAGCGAGATGTGGTGGAAACATGTTTGTTTGAATGGAATTTAAGACGTATATCTTAAATTGTCTTAAATTCCATCCATAAAAAGTCTTGTGTTTGAGTTGGTGAAACCTGCAGTAACCCTGCATTAGTCCAACAGGACAGGAACTCCTCACTGTGACTCCTCTCTGTCCGTGTTCTCTGCACTTAGACAAACCGTCTGAGTCGGCCGAGCGTCTGCTCCAGGAACGATTCAGGAAACTGGGGCTTTTCCCTGAGGCTTTCAGCTCCATCCAGTACCGCGGGACTCGCACCTACAATCCTCCCACAGACTTCAGCGGATTGCTGCGCAGCCTGGAGCAGCAGCTGGATAACAACAATACCCGATCGCCGCGTTCTGCAAGCGTCATCTTCAAGGCTCTGCAGGTGTTGGTGCTAGTCTTAATCTTGCTGCCTTCACATTTACGCTGCTGTGATTCCTGTGAAACTAACCTGCTTCTGTTGGTCAGGCCTTGAGTGAGCGTTTCTGTGGGGAGATCCCAGATGACCGAATGACCAGTAACTCCTTTTTCCCAGATGAGTATTTTACATGCTCCAGCATCTGCCTCAGCTGTGGGTATGTATGTTTTTACAAGATCATTAAAGACAAAAACAAAACACACATGAAATTTACTGCTAATGACGCCTCTCAATGTCGGAGGTGACTAATTGGCCGAGCGAGTGACCAAGTAGTCAGTAGTAAATTACCTTAAATATTTGTAAATAAATCAGTGTACAAGCATTTCTGGACTTACAGGGTATTGCGAAAATTAGATCATCCTGCTGAAAAGTGAATCTCTGACTCAAAAAATATCTGTTGTATCAACATTTTGTTTTTCTTGTTTGCAGGTCAGGCTGCAAGAGAAGCATGAATCACTTAAAAGAGGGACTTGACCATGAAGCCAAACATCGTTGCCGCTACTCTGCGCAGTACGACAACCGCATCTACACTTGCAAGGCAAGTGCAAGCCGAGCAAAACGCCTCTGAGAGTATGAGAAGATGTCTGTTTGCTAAGGTTCTCAGTTTCTGTGTGGACTCACTCAGGCCTGCTACGAGGGTGGGAAGGAAGTGATTGTGGTTCCCAAAACGACGGCCTCATCTGACTCACCGTGGTTTGGCCTGGCCATCTACGCCTGGTCAGGGTGAGTCTAGACAAGCCTTCAGAAGATGCTTGGAAATGGCTCCGTTTTTTTTTTGTATGTTATTTAGATACAAATGGAGCTACCTTATCTATTCTTTCTGTGATGACACCAACACTTTGTTCAGATATGTAATCGAGTGCCCAAACTGCGGAGTAATCTACAGAAGCAGACAATACTGGTATGGAAACCAGGATCCAGTGGAAACAGTGGTGAGGACAGAGATCCAGCACATCTGGCCTGGGGTAAGCTCTAAGCTCGGCTAACTGAGGAGAAGCACGTAGGAAACGTGAATAAAATCAAACTTTGTCAAAAGATGTTCAATGATATTAAAATCTAATACCTCTATGAAAGCGTTCATTTCCGTAATCATACATTTTTATACCTGTTTGTTTTCCCTCTGTTCAGTCTGATGGCTTTTTGAAAGACAACAACAATGCGGCCCAAAGGTTGTTGGATGGAGTCAAATACATTTCTCAGTCCGTCTCCGAACTCAGCGTCAAACCTGCCAAAGCGGTCACTTCCTGGTTGACTGACCAGATTGCTCCTGCCTACTGGAAACCTAATTCCCTTATCTTGGTGCGCATCTATGAATTAATGCATGCTGACCACATGGTACAGACTTGCTTATTTTTATTACTTTTTTTAACTGGTTCAAGAATTGTCACAAATGTGGGGAGGAGTTTCAGCCCAATGACACCAAGCACCACTGCCGCGCCTGCGGAGAGGGTTTCTGCGACGCCTGCTCTTCCAAAACCCGGCCGGTCCCGGAGAGGGGCTGGGGGCTCGCCCCGGTCCGGGTCTGCGATGCGTGTTTTCACAACCGAGGAATTCCAACAGGTAAAAAAAAAACAATAAATCTTTCAATTTGGGCTTTTAATGAAGTACCACAAACAACTTTAATGATCACAAAAAATGACAAAAGGGTGTAGAAGATTGAATTTATTGCATATTCTTTCTCATCCATACAAATTTAGAAGTATGGATTTGGCCACATTTAGCTAATGGCTCTTGGCAGAATTGATAGAGTTTATTGAAGCTGCTTTCCTGGCTAGTCCTGTTCAGGATCAAAGTCTGAGATGAATGTACCGTATGCCTTAAAAACAGACATTATGATCTGACTCATTGTTTTCTTTATCAGCTGGTTGTTTGGCGCTACACATTGGCTGGATATGAGTCCCAAAAATCTAGGCTCCTGATTTGAATTGAGCTACATATGTATACATTTGAGCCTCTAAATATAAAATTGGCCTTGTGTGGATAGTTGAAAGCCCGGCATAAACTCCAGCTTCTGCACTAAATGGTTTTTAAGGATGAATATGGGAATCATGTCAACAACAATTGCATGTAAACTTGTGATCAGGACCGTCAATCTGTATCCAAAGGCAAAGGAAACCATTGTGCAAGCAGACACCCCAGTCCTTTTGTGTTCACTGTTAAATTGGGATCTTGTCTCTGATTGGATGGTTTCTGTTTCAGAGTTACTGGACGCTGCCTTGGAGGAAGAGGGAGGCACCCTGATAGCAAGAAAGGTTGGCGAGGCAGTTCAAAACACTTTGGGTGCTGTCGTTGGTGCCATTGACATACCTTTAGGTGAGCATTACGTTATTCAAAGATTTCAGTAGGTATTTGATTAAAATATAGTAAATGTTTTAATTATATTTTTATTAAAGCATCTTATTAGGTGACAGGGCAGCCTTTCTGTATCTGAAATGAAGGCCTTAAAATGTGTTAAATTATTTTTGTAGAAAAATAAGTCAGCATTAAATGTGATATTTATAGGTCTTAAATTTTTGTCTGCACAGGGTTATTTAATTGCGTATATTTTATTTATTTTTTTCTCGTGGGACTTTTGTGTCGGGCAAAAGTGTGAGTCACGCACAGACATCTTCATTGCATTTGACTGCTGTGTTCCAGTTGTACTCAGAGCTGGAAAAACCCTCTCAGTCAGTAAAATCAACTGAACGCCATCATAAATCAAACTGGTCACTTGGAAACTGGGAGCAACTTGGACTTTTAAAGTGGAGTTCAATATGGCCGCTCCTCTCATCAATAGTAAAGGGGAGGAGACATGTTTATTTCACAAGACGCGTGTAAGAGTGTCTCTAAATTCAACGTTACATGTAGCCCCTTTCACTATAAACTGAACATATTAAAAGCAGTATTTACTTATGGAAAGTAAAACGTAAAATTATATTAGTAAGAGCTGCTGCAATCAATGAGTATGAGCATCACAGGTTCCAACTTCCAGGGTAAATGGAGGGCAGCATATGACTCATGCACCTGCTAGTTTGCTAGCTTTTTTTAGCTACATTATGGGTAAGTCCAAATTTACCGCCATTTGGCAGGGCGAACTTCATACTTTTTGTTTGAGCTGTAGGTCTTAAATTTCATTCATAAGTCTTAAAAAGTCTGAAATTTGGGTTGTTGAAGCCTACAAAAATCCCGTTACCCGCTAAGAATTTCATTCTTCCAGGTCTAGTAAAAGACGCTGCTCGCCCTGCCTACTGGGTCCCAGACCAGGACATCCAGTCCTGCTGCGAGTGCCAAAGGGAGTTCACGCCACGTCTGTCCATCCACCACTGCCGCGCCTGCGGCCAGGGAGTGTGTGACGACTGCTCTCAGGAGCGCTGCCCGGTGCCGTCCCGAGGCTGGGACCACCCGGTGCGCGTCTGCAACGGCTGTAGCCAGAAATCCGGGGAACTCTAGCAGGACGGGAAGCTGGAACGGTTAAAGATGTAAGCCTTCCAGGAACACTGGCGGACAAAACCTCAGTAATGGGATGCTGCACCATTCTCGAGGCGGCAGGACAACAGGACTGTTAATTATGTTTTAACGCTGGTCTCGCATCACTTCTGTTTGATCGGACTGTCAGTATGCCTAAAATTTACACTGTGAATACCAGTTAAAAATAGACGTGACTTGAATTTTGAGAAGAGGCTAACCGATGCCTGCTTGAGGCTGAATTCAGGTTACTTTCGTTGTCTCTCCGTAGATCTCCCTTTACTGTAGATTTAGGCTCTGTAACCCTCCGACAATCCTTTTCAGTATGACATTCTCATACATTGAGCACCTTTTGTGTAGTTCGGAACCAGTTGTGTGGATGATTTGGAGAGCAAAGTAGTTATTAATTGCCTGCAAGAGGTATCGTTTGCTTCATGAAGAGAAATGATGAAAACTTTTACTGTTTTTACCCCGATTGACTGGCAGGTTGTTCTGTTGCATCAAGATGCATTCCAAACAGTACAATAACCTAATAGTTAATATGCAAGTAATTGTTACCTTTACCTAATAGATAACTATATGTATAAATAACAGTAATTACTACTTAATAACGGTGATTAAAGTTGTTGCTGGTGTACACTCAAGTGACCCAAAACAATGCAACAGCCTTAATTGTGCTGTCCATTTCAATTGTTTAGGTTTTATAAGGATTATATAGAGCATATACAATGAAAAGGTTTACTGCAACAAGAATATTTTTAGATGGATTCTGTTTCATGTTAAATCAAATATAAACCCACAGGTTAAAACTCAATAGTGCTTTTATTGGGTGACCGGTTCACAGAAACAACAGTAGAAGTAAAGACCTGTTTGAGGCTGGCTCCTCAAACTGGGAGATATATTACTAGCTTTTAGTGATTCAGTGAATTTAACAACTTTGTGTTGGTCAGTTTTTTTTTTTTTTTGTTTGTTTTGTTTTTTTTCTGCAGAATATCTGGGAATTATAAGACTTGACTGGACGGAAACTGGCTTGGTCACAAAGTCTTCGGGTAAAAGAACAGACTTTTTGACGCCGAGTCAGATCCTATCTCTGAATATAGCTATCACATGGAACGGATCATCGACTTGTGTTCATGTATTTCTCATTCAGGATGTATTAAACTGAAGAAACATTTGTATGTGTCATTTCTGCTGAGTGTTGGGTATGTGTGTTTATGTTACATGTGAAAAATGTTTCCTGTCCTTTTAGGAGCTGGGTTATCCTGAATAACATAAGACACATCAGCAGAAACATCTTTTGTAAATGCACTTGCTGAATGATGCAGCACTTTATTTTGGCACAAACACGTTTCCAAAAACAATGTTTCCCCCTGAGATTTTAAATGCCACTGAGATCATGTTGCTTGCTCAGGGTTACAGTGAAGAACTTCTTAAAGAAAGACAATTCAGACGAGGCTGCAGCGCAATCTGCTTATTCACACCATTGTTTTCGTTTGCTAAGTTATTTTAAAATATGGATAAACAAATAGCAGCTTTTCAAACCTAGTTACCCAAGTAAAATTATTAATCTGGGAAGAAGCTATGGGGTAAATCTGGAGGAGCTGCATAGATATTAGACATTGATTAGTTGGGGAGTCCACACAGTAGGCCTTACAACTGACTCTGGTCAGATGAAACCAAATTAGAACATTCTGCCCTGTGTGGAAAATAAAAGCAAAAGCACACAGTGGCACCAGCATCAAGCTCTGATTAATCTGGTTAGGGAGGAGGTTGACTTTCCAGCAAGAAAAACAACCTTAAAAACACAATGAGAGCAGCAATAGAACAGTCTATATCAAAGCATGACCTCAATGACGACCTAGTCAAAGTACAAAACTGAATCCAATTAATTTGTGGCAAAAACTTTAAAATTGATGCTCCCCATCCAGTCTGAATGCAACAAAAGGTTGTTCTAAGTTATTAATGGAGGTTGAATAGGAATCCATGCCACACTTTTCAGATTTGCGCTGGTAGACTTTTTTTTAAAACTAAACATCCTTCCTCAATTTTTCAAGTATACGTTATTTTCGTTGGGCAGTCATCCCAAAAAACTGAGGAACGTCTGTGGTTGTAATGTAACAAAATTATGAAAAAGTTTATTGGGAGCCTTTTTTCAAGAGAAGTTGTAAGAAAAGTAAACGATGTTTAAGCTCTCGTGGCTCCATTTCCTCCCAACGTCCACAGCACCAATTCTCTAAATTTACACTGGATATTTAACGGTAAACTTGTAAAGTGCATCATCCAAACCCAGCTGCGGTCGACAGTCGGGACATTCTCTGGTTGCGTTCGACTTTCAGCTAAGTCTAGAACATTTACTTAAAGGGACCATTTTTATGGCACCGTCTGAATTAAAGCGATGGCTCTCCTCCGTCCTGGTAGTCGGTGTTGTATGGGAAGTAGTACAGGTCATGCTTGACGGCCATGAGCAGTCCGGGGAGCCCCCTGCTGCCGCCCAAATTCGAGGAGAAGACGACACTTGGGATCATGTCGTTGGCCGCTGGATGGGGCGACGGGATGGTCCTCAACAGGTGACCATCCTTCAGGCTCCACAGCCTTGTGTAGCAGTCTTGGCCCACTGTGTGAATGTGAATTAGTGAGTTACAGTTTTAGTTTGCTTTATCGCTATTTAACAACCAGGAATATATTATCTTCTCCTACCTGCTAACAAAAGGCCTTCATGTTCGTTGACATGAATGGGGAGGTAGGCATGCTCGTTGTGATGCCCTTTGTACTCCAGCACAGGCTTCCTGACTCGCACATCCCACATCTTGATCTAGAAGGAAATTCAAAAAGCTCTTTGGTTATTAACCGATATTCCACTTCTTCAAAAGAACAAAACCATAAAAGCGATCAGCTGAGCTAAAATGCCAACAACAATTTTAAGAAACAAACTGATCTGACCTGACCCAACATGTCTGCCGCCAGCAGATAGTTCTCATCCTGCAGGACTCGTACGGAGGTGATGGCTGACTCGTGGTGGAAGCGACTGGCCTTCCAGCTGTGATCCCTGCGGCCACGCTGCCGGAGGTCTATGCTGAAAATCTCCCCTGATCGGCAGCCGTTAAACAGGACCGGAACCTGGAGACGTGGAGGAAGTCTAACTCCAGTGCCTCGGTTTGTTCTTCTTACATGAGAGCGGAGGACAAAAATCTCACCCTGAGAGCAAAATGCTGTGCCAAGACGTCGGTGCCGACGCCGTACGTCTGTGTCCGTCCCGTCTCTGCATCCTTGACGATGACCCGACGAGTCAGGCCTGCAAACACGCACAACGGCATTAATACAGCCACAATCAATGGACTGTTTTTCATGTAGCTAACCCCTAACCATAAAGCTAATCTGTAACCAAGTGATATTGGTTCACTATCAGATGTATTAAAAGGAAAAATAATGACTGCAGAACAAACCAGTGCTGAAGGTCTTATCAAACTGTGGGTTGAAGCACCAAGCGCAGGACCAAGCTGTAGATATCTTGAAGCTGCACAGCATCCCTGGTTGATCTGGGGAAGAAAAAAAAGTTAGAAAAAAGAGAGATCACACTCTGTGTTTACACTGATGTGTTGAGGCGAAGCGTGAGAAACCGCAGCAAATGTTAACATCTGGTTAAAGATGTCGATATTACTGTCGGTGTTACAAACGGAGCCGACGAACCTGGGTTGGAGTTGCTGAAGAGCGACGCGGGGAGTAAACTAACACAGCCGGGGGTGTCAGCCGCTCCCACCAGACACAACCTAACCCATCAGTGAAGGTACAATACAATATGTGGTAAAAAAAAAAAAAAAAAAAAACATGTACTTGATGTTGTTTTGCCTCAATGTCAATTTTTTTCAAACTGTAAATGTACAATATTGACGACATAAAACCAGAAGGCTGAGGCGGAAGGATACAGAACATGAGAGTCGGGGTAGTTAACCGAGGCCCAGCAGATGGAGTTCACCTGAAAAACACACAGCAGGCTCCTTAATATAAGTATAACTGGTACATCTAAGAACAATGTCCACATCTAAACCATTGATAAATGTTTAAAGGCAGCAAACCAGACAGAACAGCGAGGTAGATCTCTTTATATGAATGTCTTCTAGGAATGCCCTACCACCTTGCGGTTGGTGAAGTACAGATTATCGCACATTTCCACGGACAAAGAGCCCCGGCTGCCACTACTGAAGTTCATAATGCCGTACTTGCAGCCACCGTGAGACACGTCGTTGACGGTGAACACTCGCTCACACACAGAATCCCCCTGAGAGAGACAAGGAAAGGAAAAGAGATAACAAATGAGGGTTTTTTTTTATGCTAGTTTTGATCTGATCTACACAATAGCAGGAAAACAAATCGTTGCCTTTGTTTAGAACTCCAACACTGATAACGATTGTCATCAACCCTCAACTTTCTCATTCTTTTTCTTGTTTTCCGTCATCACAATCCTCTCTACCCCAGTCACTTCCTCGCAGGATAAGCATTTTGCCAACTTGAATTTGTATCTAATTTGTGCGTGAAGGGCAGTGTCCATCTGGACAAGTCAAGTTTTAACTGTGCAGAAAGTTAAAACCCCTGAAATGATGAAAACCCAATAAATATTGCAGCCGAGCAACATGGGGTTATACTTTTTTGTTTTCTTTTTCATCTTTTGCTCTTTCCTTCGGTTTCTTGTTCTTCCTTCTGATTTATGCAAAAGCACTTTGAACTGCCCTGTTGCTGAAAATGTGCCATATGAATAAAATTACCAAGCAGTCCCGTGATTGTGAAAATGCACACATTGATATTGTGATAGCAACTATTGTTTGATGCATGTTGCAGTCCCAACTTCGAAGGGGTGCTTGAAGTGCTCTCACCACGATGATCCTGAAGTTGTCTGTGTTTGGGTTGCTGTTGTCTGTGCTCTGAATCTGCAGCTTGTGGCGCCTCATTCCGCTGACTTTTACCTCATGGACAAGCCTGGTTAGTAAAGTAAAGCCACATTAACAATCTGTCCCAGCACGGAAACAATAATTGCTTCTCCGTGATTTGAATTTTGATTCATTTAACAATCCTGTTGAAGTCGATTTGTTGGTTTCATGGGCATTTAGAATCCAACATCAAAAATTGGTCAGAAACAGTAATAGTAGCCAATATGTCTTTCATAAACTCACTCTTTTACATGTGGAACCAAATATACTGAAGATGCATTTAGTTTTACGGGTGCTGCTCCCTGTAATGCAGTAAAGCATTAGTCCTTGGGGAATTTAAATGTGTGGGCCCCATGTTTCCCCCTGAATGGGGCAAACACAGTCATGATCTGCTTACCTGCAATAGGAGTTCTCAGGTAACAGTCCAAGATGCCTTTTGTGCAGCAACAAGGATGTGTTCAATCCAGTCCTTGGGGCCTTCTGTAAGAGACAGATGCAGGTTTAATGGCAGAGGCTCAGTCCTTAACAGGAAAAATCTGCTAATGTTGCCCAGCTGAATTTACAAGTGCAACGTCTTGGAAGAAGTAGATTATCCATTCACAGCACACTTACTGCACACTCATCTTCTGCCAGTCTCTTATGTCTCTGCTTCTCCCTTTCCTTTTCTTGCAGCTGTTCTCTGGTCAGCGGGTTGCAGTTATTGTGTCCAGGAAGCAGACGGAAGTAGCGGTTCTTCTCAGGGTCAAAGTAGAAACCGGGCAGCTCTGAAAGAACAGAGGGACAACTGAAGCGTCCATAATTTGTATTTTCATCCCTCAATTAGCGATAACTGGAACCAATTTATCACCAATACGTTATGTAATGAACCAAATTTTTTTGCTTACTTGGAAACATTTACAGGTATTTTTTTAAGTAAGTCTGTGAAACTGAATAGTCTAGTTATCTCAATTCAGGATTTTTATTTGCTGGAAATCCATGATCATCAAAATAAACAGAAACAAACACAATGTATATTGTTATGCTTGTAATAAACTTATTTTATGCATGTATTTTGCCCTTTTGAATCTAATTACTAAAAATATTGGACATCAAGAAGACAGTCTAATATAGCTCTATTAGTATTTTGCTCATAATATTTTGAGTTTCTATTGTCAAGTTGCACCAAATGTCCCCCGAAAACGTAATCATTAGGATACCTGGTACTCCGCTGTTGGATTTAGAGCAGGAAGAGGCTGAGGTTGGAGTAGCTGAGGCAGATTGGTTATCATGTTCCCTCTGAGATGCTCTGTGAGACGGCCCAGCATCACTATACTCCTGCCTATAAACAGGAGATATTAATCAAAGCCAATTCTGGAATGAGAGACAACATGTGGAGTTACAATAGCGTGTTTTTTGAGTCTTAAATGTGCATCGTGCTTAGTTAGCATGGCTACCACTGTTCGTCGCTGGACGATCTCTGTCGATTTCCTCTGTACCACCCCTTTCGACGATCCTGTCGCCATTTCCACTTCTTCATCTCTGTTCCTTGACTCCGACAGGCAGATTTATCATTCCGCGGAGCCCGTGGTTCACTTCTGGGTGATGAACTGCGGTGTGTTTACTCGTTAGCTTAGCAATGTTAGCTTCGGCTCTAACGAGACCCGTTTGATTTCATTCGCAGGAGTTCAAAGCGTGCAAATAAAACGCAGATTCGAAGGTTTTAAAACCTTTAATGATAGATTCGATTGAAAATAAGCCCAAGCATGTGTATATGATGATATTAACGTCAATTATCTAAGCTGAATCTCTTGAGCTCAGTAGCTAAACGTAGTGAGGTCTTTAAAGTACCTCGGAAATGGGAATACGTATACTAAAGAACGGAGAAATATAATGCTCAAAGTTTGCTTTATCTTAAAGATCGAGAACACTAATATAATCTTCTTCTTCAAAAAATGCTAGATTAAAACATCTGACGTTGTCTTTTGTTAGCATAAGCTATAAAAATAAACGTTCTGCATTTTTCTGGTTATTTGTTCTTATTTGTGTGTTTTCCGTTGATCAATAAGTAATTTAATGCAACACCAGGGACCCAACTGTTTCCCCGCCCTTCGGTTAATTTATTGGACAACTTTAACAAAGAGTTTCTGACGTACCATGTATTCATTGGCTGTTTGCTCTGTAAGCGCTTTGCTGCCTTTGAAAGTAACTCGAAATTCTTGACTTCTTACCCGAGCTATCAGGAGGCTAGAGTTAACAGGATAGGGTAAATAAAAGCCGTAGTAAAATTGGATTGTGGCGAACTTAATGAGATAGAGAAATGTTGCTATTCTTTTATTCAGAAGTGAATTTGAAAAACGTCAGTTTAAAAAAACAAAACAAAATAAGCCTCTTTAATTTCAGCATCTTTGACCTCTATAGTTAATTAAAAAGGCTTTATTGTTCCCCCCCAAAATTCCAGAGCATAAAATTAATAATTTATATTAATATGACGACTTTTTGGTGAATAATCATGAGGTTTGCCTGACTTTCATCTATCTATTTCTATGTAAGAGAAAAAACCGTATCAAAGGGGATGACGATCTACTGATGCTACTGATGATCACTGAGTTTTGAGCCATGTCCTTCCGAATCACTTAATAGGTTTTAACAAGGTTTTAGTCATAATTTGACCAAATCTAGGTTTCCGTGAGGACGCGTGATATCCGAGTGTCTTTGAATGCAGCATGTTTTTTCCTAAGCAATTGCTTTATAAAATGTTTAAAAAATATATGTTGAAGAATAAAACCGGACTCTAACAAACACAGGCGCCCGCCTCCGTGCTTCATTCATATGTATTCTAATATAAGATACAATAAATAGGAATGAGTTAATGCTTTTTCGTCTGGCAGAACCATTATAGGATTAGACGATCGAACAACGCCCTAAAGGAAAGCCCACGATGTTAATTACTCACATTGGTCCTAAGTTTTTGGGTTAATTTAAATACATATTAATCAACTTTTGTTCCAGAGGATGAGTCCCGTGTGGGGTCTGTTGACATACTTCTGTTGAAGCCACGCCCAATGTCTTCATGCTGGGGTTGTATTGGCACGGAGCGCAGTAGACAGGACAGCATTGGCTGTTGTATTTTTTTCTACTTTCTTTCTTTTTTTTTTTTTTCATGACGGTCCGAAACTGCACAGAGATTTGGAATATTACATTACAGCCTTGCAGAGCGAAAGATGGCGACTGTCATTCATAATCCATTAAAATCGTAAGTAGCATTTATTTATATGTTCCAGGGCCACATTATCATTGTCACAAACTAAAAGGGGGGCGGGAGGAGGAAACAGCGATGATTTCTTTATATTGTGCGGCTCATAAATACAGATCAGGCTCCTCGCGCACTTGAACGGCTGCAGATGTTTTCAGGTTCTCTTGCCCTCTTGCACGGCCGTGCAACCCCGGGAATATGAAAGCGTGCACAATATGCAAAAAAACAAAAAAAAACAAACATGCGATCGGAATTGTGCACTTGGTAGGAAGTTCTCCACTTTATGAAACTTTGCATTGGAAAAACCACACGAGTTGCATTTGCATTGGAGAAACCACACGAGATACATTTGCATAAAACTTGCACTGGTGCAAACTTTAGCTCATCCTTAAAGGGAAAACAAGACTGCGCCCACCTGCTTGTGATGTGGGGACGCCGGGGGATCAAATATAAATAAGATAAACTATAACTGTTGTATTTTCAGAGTATTTCCTGTGCATAGTCCCCACTTTACTCCTATTCTAAAGAAGCCATTCGTTTTTTGATTTGAATGAGAGATTATTATTCTCTGTCTGGATGAATGATCAGGTTCCTTCATTTTCAAGCCAGAAGCCTAAATGTTTAGTGCCAACTCTGGCTGGCCTTTGGAACTGTTTGTCATTTCCGTCATGACAAATGTTCAAGCGTGATGTCCCCACCACCTCCACGCTTCTTCAGTACTGGTCTGATGTTCTTTCAGTGGTGTGCAGGGTTGTTTTTACATTCAGCATACTATATGGAATTCTAATTAGACATTTATAAATTAGAATAGCCTTTTCTGGAGTGATTTCCAGTTCTTTCCAATGCCACTGTTACAGTATTTGTTCTCCACTTGACTGTGACATGTCTTCACTGCGTTTCCCGGAACATCTATTGCCTTGGAAATTTATTGGGACCCTTCTCCTGATGAACGCATTTGGTCGAGAAGATCCCCGAATAGAGTTAAAGGAATCAGCGGAGGGAGCTAAAGATTAAGGTGATGGCACGGAGGTCTTCCAGCCTCAAGGATGTTGGAGTGCATCACCACAGCTAAATACCAGTGAAAACATTCAGAAAAACCTGCCATCAGTTATTTACACGAATTGTTGCCATGCCAATAAAGGTGCCTAATTTTGTTGTTGTTTTCCAAAACTATAGTCCTATTATTAGCTTCTTATCGTTTGTGTGATTTCCTGACAGAAGCAAACTTGTAGCTGGTGATTTAAAAACAACTTCAAATTAAATTCTGTCATACTTGTGATAACTAGTCTTACCTGTATACTTAATGACAAAAATAAAATTACATTTCTTGTCATTCCAGTTCTACCCTAATTTTACTGCTGCTGCACAGTTAGCTGTCCAGGAAGTTAGAAAAGCAGCGGATTAAAACTCTTATATACCAAAAGTCGTTGGGGTGTTTATTTGGCAACTTTGCCAAATAGTTTCCATAGAAAGTCCTTTGTAAGAGTGTTTTCAGTAGTTTTTAGTATAATCTTTAATAGCCAGAAGGGTGCAAGTTCCTACAGTAAGGATTATTTGCAGTATCCACAAAAAGTTATAGTTAGGTTTATCAATTTATCCTCCAGCTCAAATTAAGTCACTACATTTTGAATTCCGTTCTGTGTTGTGACATCATTCAATAGTGTGTCCCTCCTCATAATGCACACGTTCTGTGTTTTTATTTATTTATTTTTCTATTACACAAAATACTGTAATCCCCGCACTAGCCAGGGTAAAAGACAATGCTTGTATTCCGTCAAAGCAGATTAGGATGTTGACAGTTTATAGCTTTTGTGTATGTAGAGCAGCAGATTAAGAGTGTCCCAGTATTTTTCCTGGGTCCATCTGTCAGGAGAAAGGTATTGGGTAAGAAAAGGAGAGTCATAAGGGGGGTCTGAGGGAGGGAGATCCATCTGCTTTTCACGAGAATTGGACCCACATGTGATTTCTGAAAAAAAAAAAAAAAAAACGGGGAAAACCCTGTGCATTACAAACCAGGCATGATGTATTTTTGCAAAATATTTGGTAACTTTGGTTTGAAGCTGTCAACCAGGCTGCCTGCTTTAAAATAATAAACAGCCCTGTTATTCTCTGATAGATTCATTAAAACTATCAGAGCCTGACAGTCACTATGTGTGTCTGGCCTTCTCAGTCATGGTTAGCCATACACATTGTCTTGAGGTATTAAAAAAAAAAAAAAAAGCAGGTACAAAGACCCCTTTGTGATGGAAACCTGGAGAGGCATTGCAGGGTTGAGGTTTAATGAGGAGCTGACATGAGAAATATTTAAATAAGCACGGTAATTTATATGCAGAGATGTGCATATTGCATGCCCTGCCGACATCCCGTGGTCAGGTTTGAATTTATAACGTAACAAAGAGTGCGGGTAGGAAGGCGGCTTGCCGGCGTTTCCATGAGGATTGGGAAGACGTGGGCTGAGATTTGAAACAGCTCGATACGAGAGGAGCGAAGGGTTCACGTATTGGGGTTGTATTTGTTGTTTACATGTGTCGCCCCTCCCCCTCACGGTTTGTAGAAGGGGGAGTGAGTGATGGAGGTGGTGGTGGTGTGTGTGTGTGTGTGTGTGTGTTGTGTGGGTGTGTGTGTCTGGCTGCATTTAGGCCGTATTGCATACATCCATAATGCAGCCAGAGTACAGGATTGAACCCTGGCTTTTGTTCATCCAGAACGCGCAGGAAGAGTTTTTGGTGGTACGGATAGATTTATTTTTTCCCCGTTCTGCACATAGAAACAGCTCGATTTTCATAAACCCTGTCGTCTTGTACAATTTTATTCATTTCTGTTGGAGCATTTTTCTTTTTTAACACGTTGCAGCAAAACCATCTCGATCTAGGTCCCAGTCCCCTCATCCTCCGTATCTTCTTTCCTTCCTCCATCTTCACTTTTTCTTCCTTTTCATTCCCAGTGTGTGGCGTAAAAAGAATGAATGCATTCATGCATAGACATATCTGTGCATTTGAGAAGGAATGACTGTGACATGGTTTGAAAGGGAACACGTGTGCCCCAGGTCATGTCAGACCCCATCCGCCCCCACACCCCGCTGCCATTCCACCTTATCAGCTCTTCCTCCTCCCTCTGTCCCCCCTCGCTCTGCTTCGCCCAGTCTTCAGACTCCAAAAATTTCCACGGCTTTAATTGCCCATATGTAGCGTCTGCCCTCGGATTCCCCTGAGGTTTCGCACTCATTCAGGGTCACATGCTGCTCATGTTTCTGTATGTCTACAACGTTCCCAAGCATATTTGCTTGTCCCACACCTAATTCATAGGGTTTTAATGTATCGACTTGCAATTTAAAGCTTTAACTGCTTGATGTTTTTTTTTCTTTTAGAAATACATTTGTACGGTCAGACACTGATGTTGGACCAAAAAGAAACCGGATTTAAGGGCTTACCGGAAAAAGTGAATACAAAAGTTCCAGCTTGGGAATTTTGAAAAGCAAAAAAAATCAGATTAATTGCATTAAAATGTTTTAAAATGTTGTATAATTGTATAATTATGCATAATTAATTAGCTAAAATTAGTGTGTTAAAATCCTGGCCTTAATATTTATTACAGTTTTATCATATTTTATGTTTGGCCCTTGATTCAGAAAGTTATGTTTTTGTCTTTAAACTAACAAAGGGACTAATTGTTACTCTCCAATCTGGCAACAAATAACATTCCTTGTCGACAACTCTCTGTCTTTGCTTTGCAAAGCCATGTGCATCTGGCTTACACTCGGGTCATGCTTTGCAATTTGATTGTCTAAAAATGACCTTTATTTATCAGATTCCAGATCTCTGTGGAGTATTACAACTTACAATTAAATGTAGCACCCTTACATTTTTCATGCACATTTATTTTCCCCAAAGTCCTTTTTTTTAAACATTGGGGAGCAACAAATTATCAGTAATTTAATACTCTCAAGGGTTCCTTTATCTGCACCAGAGGCATACATGATACCCTTGTGCTGTCACTCAAATTCTCCGTGTTTTGACTGTACTTCTGAGGAAGTGAATTCCTAATACATCTTTAACTAGAATTGACCTCATAAATGTATGTCTATTACACACATTGACATACAATCTATGTATATTATGGACATATGGTTTTCCCCTGGTCTGCAAGATTTAACTTCACTTTTTACGCATTGGATGAGAGCTGTTCACACATACTGGCCGTCATAATTAGAGGATGAAATTACTAATTATACATCACCAGGCTCTTGCAGGGGTTTAATTAAGTCCAAATGGCGTTTTTGACAACATCTGTTGTTACATATTAACTATCTAACCATATATGGCTATTTTAATGCGGTTTGTCGGACGCCAGGTGGCTTAGGACAATGCGCGATTAGTGACCAAAATGGTTTTCCATATGTTTCCCATTCAAGTTTTGAAAACACCTCACAGACAAATGCACAGCCGCTCACTTATGTAAGAATCTACGCCGCTCCCCCGGGGAGACTGCACAGACGCTCGGCTGTTGAAATCAGGACAGAAACATCCAGCCAGAAAAAATGAAGAAGAAGAAGGAGATGGGAAGAGAGACACGAGGAGAAATGCCTGCAGGTTGCACACACACACTTCAGTTCAGGCGACAAATAGTGACAGCTGATATAACGTCTTAACCTCTGGGAATGTGAGTTATGTGACAGGAAGTCTCTTCTGAAGACCTGCATTGTGACTGCTGCTCTCGTACAGTATAAACACGTGTTGGCAAAAATCACCAGCTGCATTCCTCGTTTCTGTAGGTCTGTATGACCTAAAACGTCTGCCAACAACTTCCACATGCATCTGTTGCCAGAAACCACATGAGGTTGAGCAACTAGCAGCTTTGGTTTTCTCTTATTTACAGTCGCCTCTTTTAAAGATTCATACACTGGGAACAGACTTACTGTAGCTTGGGTTGAACTCATCTCATTCTCTGGCATTTCAAGTGGCTTTTCGTCAAAGAGCAGCAGTTTAAATGTGTTCTGAGGTGAATAATATGACGGGGATCAAACTTGTTCAATCTGTGAACTGCTGGAATCGCTGAAGACTGAAGGCCACACAAGATATGCAAATTGACTTCTCAGCGAGATGGAGAAGGATGCTGTGAATGTGAATTTGTATGCTAATTCCAGCTTCATAAAAATATTTCCCCTCAGTAAAAATATGCAGTTGTACAATTTGTTTTTCTGCAAAATTTGTTTACCATTTGTTTTATCATTTGGATTCTATTTGTCATGTGGCGTAAATGGTCTTCAGGAGTGCTTAATATAAATGCTTGCATTTTATAATAAATAAAAAAACCCACAAACTAATTAGTAAAGGAAAAATGATAGGTCTGTGAATGCTTTTGGCACTCAAATTAAGTTATTTTTTAAAAATGTCAGTGTGATGCTATGCTACTGTAATACAATTAATCAAACACGGATGCCAACAGAGAAAATGTCCCCGGAAAGGTCTTTTCTTTTCAAATAGCAGTTGAAGTAATTGTCGTGTTATGTAATTAATGCCATTGCTAATAATATATCACGACCAAAATATCTTTGGGTCAAGCAAATGATTCACAGCCATGGCCTATAGCGCAGTATTCTAGTAGAAAGTAAGGTAAGAAATGAAGTGACTTCTGTAGTTTCTCTTTTTAGTCACATTTTCATAAAACTTTCTATGCATTTCCGTATTATTTTTTCAAATATTCATTCCATTGTAATCCTCATTCATCCAGTTTCCAAAAGGTATATAAAAAAAATATTTCTGATTGCGCTCAGACCATTTTGTTGTCATTTGTAGCAAATGCTGAGCTGTAATTTGCATTGGGAAGAAAGGGAAACTGATAAGAGGGACATTAGTCTGCTCTCCAAATGTCTCATACATAATTTTATGAGCGTTCCCTTCTTTCCTCCTTATGGTTATACCTTTATGTAATATCTGTTTTGTTTAGCTTCTTCTGTACATAAATACTTAGATTAGTAATGTCTCTACCCTTCCATCTCCCCCCACAAATCTTCTTGATCTGTCATCGTAAGTCAATCATTTAAATTCAGTTTGTTTTTAAAAGAGCCACTTTGTAACAGATCCCATCTCTAGAGTATTTGCAAGAAAATATGTCCAAAATATTTCAACCAACTGCACTGTAAATCATATCCAGACCAATGCAATGCAGTCATAGAGAGATACTCGACTCAACGACAAACTTTCTTTCCCCTGTCATCTCCACATACTGCAAAATTTTCTTCATTAGTGCGAATGTTCTCGTTTTTACCCATCGTGCCATTTTGTGCATATCTGTTCCGAGTATTCCCAGACTCCTCGTCTGCGTCGGTGATGGTCAAGCAAACTGACGTGTGTGCACTCCGTAAACCGAAAACCAAACACAGCCCTGACAGACTGGCTACACTAAACTCTCAGAGGGCTGCATCTGCTGGCTTAAACAATGTCAAGTGGAGACAATCTTCAACATGACATCAACAGCCGAGTCTCTTTTGTGTATTTCTCACGTCACACAGTTTGCAGAAGGCGTTGATCTTGGTGGCATTTCTCCATCTTTAATTGTTCTTCCCCCGAAACCCCGATGAACGAAGCTGAATCGGCACCAAGACCGTTTTTCAGCAGGATTTTCAGTCTGACATGTGCACTGACGTTTCATTTTGACAGCTTTGCTTGGTTTGTTTTTCTCATAAGCTTTTCTCTTCTCTGCTCTAATTGTCAGCTCTAATGCCTTCACTCTAAATCTTTTTAAGTCCAGACTCTACGGTACATAGACTTGAAAGACCTGAAGCGAACTTATTTATTATCTTCAAGTCTTTTTTTCCCATACACATTGCCTTGCTTGCAAAACACTTTGATCTTTTTTTTTTTTTTGTATTTTATTATGCTGCAATATAAACTGCAGAGTTTCCCCCAGAGCATTATAAGCCTGGCGGGCCACCAGGACTCCCAAAACCTTAGAAATGACAATTAAACATTTGCAGACTGTTTTTGTTTGACTCAACCCTTGAATTTCTTTAGTTTGAGCTATAATGTTCTTTGAGATCTTTCACTCTACTTCATGTCATCAGACAGAATTTACACCTATTTTTATGCTACAGGTCTGGCATCAATCAGGCACGTGTGTGGTTTGTGAAACTGAGCAAAAAAATGTTGCTGATCACAGTTAATTCCTGATTTAACAAGGAGGCAATTGTGTTTTCACAAAGGGCCAAGTTAGGTTTGAAACCTCGGTTTTGTGGTTTTCTTGTATTTTATTTCTTCCTGAAATCAACGCAATAGTTGGATGATCTGAAACGTCTATGTTTGACAAAGAAAAAAAACGTAAGAAATCTGTGGGAGAAATCCACCCGTTTTCCCATTAAAGCAAATAATAATATTGATCTTGGTACTATTTTTTATTTACTACATTAATATTTTGTTTTTGCAGCACTTCTTTTTCACTGCAGGCCTATATGATGAATTTATTCTCTGATCAGAGCATCGTCTTCAGCGTGTTTGCTGTGTTCCTTCTGGAAGGCTTTTCCTTTTGACAATTTGCCTGCTTTCCACAAATATTTGTCTTGTCCGCAGATTCTCCCACTTGATTTGTAGGTCTCTGCAGCTCGTTCAGAGTCTTGGGTGGTTCTAGATTAGTAAAGGGGTGGCAATTATTTTTTTGCAAGGCTCTGTAAATTTGAGCAATGCAGTCAGACAGGCCACAAACGTTTTTTTTGCCATCTATTTTAATTCTAAACAAAGTGGCCGACTGATTTGATTTAACCCTGAAAGAGAAATATTTTGGGCATAAGTCTTAAAATTGTTTTGAGTTTAAGGTGATTTGGGAAAGTCTGCCCAGCAGCACATGGCATTGCCATTCTGAAAGAAGCTTTGGCATGTTATGAATTTAATAACAACAGCATGTCATCACAAAGAGAAAGTGGAAATCACAGAAGCATGCTTTATACTGCTGTGATTGATAGCACAAATAAGACTATAAAGTTGCGGGTAGGTGTTTTTTCATCAAATAAACATCTTAATGCAGCACAGATGTTGAGTGAATGGGGTAATTGTTGTAGAACAAAATGTAAATGAGCCTGATGCATTTTGCTGTGTTCTCGGTTGGCTCCGTAACCGTATACTTGCAGTGTTGTTTGACTATCTGCGTTCTTGTTTTCACGTTTTTCCCGGATCCAGGCTGGGTGACCAGTTCTATAAAGAGGCCATTGAACACTGTCGCAGCTACAACGCCCGCCTCTGTGCTGAGCGCAGCGTGCGAATGCCCTTCTTGGACTCGCAAACTGGCGTGGCACAGAACAACTGCTACATCTGGATGGAAAAGCGCCACCGCCGACCAGGTAAGAAACTCTGCAAGGGCCAAGAAATCTGCCTGGTCCTGAAAAAAAAAAAAAAAAGAATCTCAGTTTCCCCCCCCTGCACAATCGCATCTGGGTACATTTTGCAACCCACTTGAAAATATCTGTATTTAATTTTGACCTAATTCGACCTGAAATGTGTTACTGTGGAGCTTCTGCACAGGAAGAAGAAGACTGTCTTTTGAGATAGTTCAGTAGTTATTGTCCAATACCTCCAAAAGAAACTCTGATAAAGTCTCAGCCAAAAACCATACCATTTTGCAGAAATGGTAAAATAGATGTTAGTACAAAAACAAAAAGAGTTGTTTGTGTTAACTCGCGAGCCCTGCAACACAGCTTGTTACTGCAGCAAATTAGTAAAGTAGTTTCAGGTTTTATTCTAATTCTAAAAGCAGGTGACTGCTAAAGTTAGTGCTTTATGCAGTTGTCTTAGTTTTGGGGGAAATTACAGATTCCCCACAAATGAAGCAATTGTCTCAGAAGTCTGCAGTCTGATCTAGAAATAAAAGCACACCTAAGCTAAGATTATTTGAATTGCAAGTCTAAAACCAGTTTCCCATATGCTATTCTTAAATTCTGTCGAGCCTGTTCTTACTGACTGGAGCGGCTCTTAGTGGGGTCTTCTGCTGGTGTAGCCCATCAGTGCTTCCATGTAGAACCAGTCTGCTCATTCTTCTCTGACCCCTATCTACGCAGCTGCTTGCTCACTCTATTTATGTTTTTCTTTTTCCCTGTAAAGCAAAGATTTACGTGGGTTGAAATCCCAGAAGGTCAGGAATAGATGAAGTAATTAGACCATGCTAGAATCAAAGAATCTTGAATTCCCTTTCTTGCCACCCTGATGATTGGTCTCAAATTCAGCAAGTCGTGTTCTGCCCATATACAAGTCTGAATGCAGTGAGTTGCTGCTGCATGACTTACAGTGAGTGGAGTAACAAAGAGTAAAATCAAGAACATTTGTAAAATGCTAAGTAGTGGGTGGATTTTATCAATACTCTGATTCTGTTTCCAGGCTTAGATCAACCCAGGGAAGCATGTTAACGCATTACGTAAAGCTAATAGACATTTGTGGTAAAAGAAAGCAACCCTTAAATATGTTTATCTCATGATGAGGTGCCCATCAGTGATTTATCCTGAATCAAGTGTTCAGAATTCGCCATGCGCATGAGGGTCCTCTGTGCAACTAAAGGGAACAATCTCCTCCTTGCTGAGATCTGGACATAAATAGCCCGCGCTCCATCTTGTATGCAAAGCCCTTCAGGCCACACCCTATACTTTGTGGCAGACCTAACTCGCAATATATGCATTTATTCTGGGTTGATGCCTCCACCTCCTTCTCTTGATTTTTTTTTCTCTTTGCTCATGTGGACATAACTGAGCCCCCTCTGCATCTCCCTTCTTCTCTGTTTTCTCGCAAGATAATGGGGGGAGATAATGATTAAAGGCAGAGAAATGATCAAATTCACTAGAGCAAAGTCTGATTTTAAATTTTCATCCCTTTGCTTTAGAATACGGGTTTCTGCCCCACTAAGATGCAAACTGGAAATTCCGAAACCAACCAGAAAAATCTAAAACAAGGCAACAATTTTAATGGCATCTGACCGGAGTCAGGATTTTTCTCAAGATGCTGACCACTGCACTAAACATTACTGAAATCTGGACACAATAAGTGCAGGGGGGACGAAAGGGAGGAGAACGGGGGGGAAAACAAGGAGTCTAAGTGTTTTTCCGTGTGTCTGTTGTGCTTGGACTCAGTGCATAAATTGTTAAAATCTTGGCAGAGGTTGCTCAAAATTCCTCCACAGGGCCTGCATTAACAAGTATATGGCTGTGTGTGTTTTGTTTCCTGGTCCAGGCCAGGCGGCGGGGCAGATGTATACGTACCCCGCTCGTTGCTGGAGGAAAAAGAGGCGACTCCACCCACCCCTGGATCCCCATCTCCGCCTGTGTGAGCTCCGGCTAGGTAATTCAAACAGCACAGCCTGGCCGATTTACACACAGACGCTCAATTAAAACCCAGAACACTGCGAGTGGCGACTCTGTTATCCCATTTTGATCCACGCATCGAGTTATTTTTACATGCAGCTCTCACTTTGACATGCTTCCTGGTGCTGCTGTGTTCCTGCACTCTGCTTGTTTTATTAATTCTTGCTATCAGGCCATCTGGCTCTGGTTAGCCTCTCTCTCACCAGGTCCCCAGGTTCATTTTTTTTCCCTTCGAATCAATGCCCCCTCTCACTGTTCTGTTGCTGTAGACACATACACGCACGCTCGTATACACCCCCACACATGACTCCTGCTCCCCCCACCTCCAGCACAGGAGCACCCTCCCTGGGCCTCTATAATCATTTGTCCATGAGGCATTAAAATGCAGCTTAGCCTTATGAGACGGCAGTACATGCTTTATTTTGTCAGTTCTCATCCCTTCGTGCGCATGGCACTTTGTCTTTTGGGGGGGGGATTTCAGAAGTGGAATACCAGGGAACCCGATAAGAGGAGGAATGAAGGCGATTCTTTGTTTCTGCTCTCTGCCACTATTGTTCCCTCTTCTGTGTCCTCCAGATGCAATATAATACTCCAGAGCGTTCTGCAAAGAATGATTTTTTTTCTTTACGCGACGGAAAAGGGAGTCCTTCTTTGTGGAAGAAAAAAAAAAAAAATGCATAAGAAACTCCCCCCAGAGCTGCAACCAACCAACCTTTAATGCCAAAAGATGAAAAAGCAATACTGGTTATTTAACTATTAAAGCTGGAAAGCATTTGCAGGATATTGTGCAGGTCGGGCAAAATATATATGATACCACGAGAGGGGAATGTGAATTTGTTCCTGCAGAGTTTTATTGAGTGCTTCGTTTCTTTATTACCTTCTGAATAAAGGGTTGCCTATATGCAGAGGTACGCAGAGGATTTCCTTAGGAATGAATGCATAATGGTGATTTCTCAGTTCTTCCTAATGTACATTTGCTGCTCTGTGATATCGGAGCTCATCTAAAAGAGTCTGGAACCAATTTGTTGTTTTCAGGCTCAGGAAAATTCACAAGACCATCGCAGTGTTCTGAGAATAATTAGTTGTATGAGAGAAATGTTAAATATTAAGCTTAACAATTCGGTTCGCTGCCAGAGCCGGTTTTCGACATCCAACATGAGCGGTTGCCCAGGGCGGCATGAGGAAGGGAGTGCATGATCACAACTTTTTGCACGTGCAAGAAAATACAATTGGCCCGACTGACAGAGCAAGTTTCTGCAGGGGAGTTTCAAAACAGTGGAAATTGTTACAACAGAAGATAATAATAATAATAATAATAATAATAATAATAATAATAATAATAATAATAATAATAATAATAATAATAATAATAAAAGAGAAAAAAACACTTCCTGTAGAACGTGCAACAAAAGTTTGGCTTTGCAACAGAGCAATGCAGTGGATCTTTTCTATCTTTGCTGATAGAAAGATCTCTACCTTATAGAGATATTCTGAATGAGTCTCCTCTGAGCCCAACCCTGATTAAGAACAAATAAAACGTTCTTGCAAAAGTTTGCAAAAACTTCGATCCAGGGCATTAAAATCAAACTTGAACTACAAAAGCGATTTTGAAATTGACGGATTCTGAGTGAAGCTTGAGAAGCTTCTAGAACTTCTCAAGCCTTCACATGACCTTCCCTGACCCCCGCTCTGAGTAGAGTTCAACGTCAAGGGTTGACGATAGAGGAAAACATAAGACTCGAGGTATTTGATGGAAGTTCCCACAGGTGAAAAGCAATAAAGGCTAGACATGTTTGTGCTGCTGCTGGAGGTGAGGCGGGGGTTAGCACATGAAGAAAATGCCCCGCAAGTCTTTCTCTGAAGTCGTCGGATACCAAAAAGACTAAAGGTTTGGGTGTATCGCATGTTAAACACTAGGAAACTTTAAACACACGTCTCTGCTTTCATCCTATTTTCATTCCGCTTTTAAAGTTCAAAGAGGAGCAATGTAGCGAGTTTGGGCTTTCACAAATCCACCTTCACAGAAATTAATAAGTAAGGAGTGACGGGGCTGATGATGTGCCTCTTACCTGGTCTTTGAAGTGCAACTGAACCTGGAGTTTATATTTTGATATCGGAAGAACATTTGCGCTGGCTTATCACGTAACACAAGCAAGTCCAAACAATGGTTTGTGACATTGTGAAACCAAATCTTTTCTTTCTGTTGCTCTTCGTCCTTTACCCTTCCTCCACAGAAGCTGACCTGGCGCCCAAACGTGAGGGGCCTCCGGGGGAGGCCACCGCCCTGGAGGCGCTGTTGAGAGGGGACAACGCATTGGAGAAAAAAAACAACCTCAGTAAAGATGAGGAGACGCTTCTGGAAATACAGGTAATTTTAAACCAACCCAGCATTTAAATGAATGACTTTCTTTCTCACCTCTGTAGTATCTGCCTGGTTTACGTGCCTGACAAATGACTGCCGTTTGTAAAAGTAACGTTTCCGCTGTGCCTGCATGACAAAATCTGTAAAATCCATTAAAAGTGTGAAAAGAAATTTAAAAAATAGTGCCTTGCCACCATGATGTGTTTTAAGTCTACACAAACCTTTGTGCTGTATTTTATTTTTAGCTTGTTTTTCCTCGTCTTGTTTTATTTGAACCTGCTGCGGGTGTGTTTGTTTTTTGTTTTTTCTTTTTTTTGTAGAGAGTTCTGGAGGCAGAGGAAAATGGGGACAGTTTCCACGAAGATGAAGAGTTTGAAGCCGATACGCCAAAGAAAAAGAATAGGAATAGAGGCAAAGTGGGTAACAAAAGCCAAGAATATGTCCTTCAGTTACATTGCTTAAATATTCATATGCATTTTTTTCATTATGACTAAAAGATCAGGTTGTAAAGGTCTGCAAGCTTTACAGCCCAGAGAGCCGTTTTGCTCTCTGGACAGTTGAAGGAAACTCGTTTGGAGCTGCAAATGTCTCACGAAAAACACATTAAAAAAAAACAAAAGCGAAAGAAAAAACAACTTTTCAGACAAATACCTTCTCTAGGAAATTTCTTATTTTATATAACCAGCATTTTAATTTCTATTTTAATGATTTCAAATAATGATAGGCATAAAAGAGGATAAACATCTTCATATTAAAAAGCACCACAAAGATTCCAATTTAATGATTAAAAAGATATTACCAGTACTCATAGTGACATTCGTTGTGAAAATTCAGTACAAATTCAGTGCAGGAAAAGTTTGAAAATGGTTAAAAGCCTGTATTTGAAAAAAAAACCAGGCTTTTAACCTGTATTTAACCTATACTGAGTTAATGTATTTTAAAAACATAAACTGATTCCTCTTAATTTTTAACCAAAGTTATTGGTAGCTATTGCAGAAAGTCCAAGAAGCAGGAACACAGGTTGCTGCTATCCTGTGCAATTTTGACAATGTGTGGAAGAAAAGTGGAAATAAAAGCCTGAACTGATATAATTTTTCACAGAAACCTTATATTTAGTTCAATAAATGAGAGCAGTCACATGAACTAAACTGCTATGATTTTTGCTTTAACCTGTAAGCGCAACAGCGTTGCACGTGTGATAAACATTTGTTGTTTCCTTGCAGAGCAGAGGATCAACTCGCAGAAGGACAGAATCTGTTAATGCAGAAGACCTGGATAAACCTTACATCTGTGACAGTAAGGAGACGCAAGACATGTCTCCTGAGTTTATCATTTACCCTGTCAGCCCGATGTTATTACACCCCTCCCGCAGAAGTTCCCATGACAAAAAAAAAAAAAAAAACGATTCAAAATGTTCAAAGAGAAAATACATGTTGATGAAGAGCAGATGTAGCTTCTCAAGTCTCTTAATGTCATCGCTCCTTTTTTTTTCTGTTCCTAAAATAAGCATGTAAAGGGACTCTGATGTTTATGCAGAAATGACCAGCATGCCCCCTTTTTGTACCTGGACGAACCCCTCCCTGCCCCACCTCCCAGGAGTCGGGTTGTTTGTGGACTGAATCTCATGCAAATCGGTTTCATTTCCATTTTTTTGTTTCATTCTCTCTCCGTCATGGTTTGCTTCTGTGTCTCCTCTGTTCCAGATAGGTACAAACAAAAGCATAACTCAAAAAAGGCTGAAGAAGGTATCTGAATTTGAACTTTTCTTTCTCCCAGCTCCATGTTATGCCGCAGTGATCAGCCTTTTTGCTAACAGCGCAGGAATGCCTGAGAGAAAACCTCTGATGCTGTGTGCTTGGGCTTCTCTTTGTGGATTCAGTGCAAGCGATGCATGACACTAACGCTTTGCCGTGAGCTTCTGTCGCTACCGGTTGCAAGTTCTGGTGTGACTTCACCGACAGATGCATGTTGCGTCGGTTTTTCTAAAGCCGCTGAGGAAGTGTTTCCACTGGGTGCGATTATTTACTGCTTTGTGAACTTTATGAAAGTTGAATTGTGCTTTCTAATCAAGAAATCTTTTTTTTTGGGGGGGGTAACAGAATTGGCTGCTTCACACATCACACTACAATTGCTAAGCACGGTGGTGGAGGAGTGATGATTCGATTTGATGAGTTGAAACTCCTTTATGCTTTTCTACAACAAAATAGCTGTTTGAAAATTGTAATTAATTCAGAATCAACGAGCTAATTTAGGAATTTAAGGCAATCTGGCAAGCTTTCAATATTTTTGGCATGGAAATGATTCCATTATTGTTTTGTGTTCTTTTTGGTTTTGATTAATGGGTTCAGCACAATTGGATGCAGGTATAAAATAAAATAAAATCATAAAACAGTCTAACGAGTTCAGGTTTTCATGCTCATATTCATAAAACAAAAAAATAGAACCAGATAAACTACCAGTACATCCAAAGGTAGTTTTTAACTTTTGGGTTTCCTGTTTGCTGTTTTTTGCTGTGGCTTTGTTTTTACATCCGCCTTCATTAAGCCAATACAGACCTCGGATGGTGAATCGCTAACGGACACGTCACGTTTCATCCGCAGTCTGTGGGAAGCGCTACAAGAACCGTCCGGGCCTGAGCTACCATTACACCCACACTCACCTGGCCGAGGAGGAAGGCGAAGAGGAAAAGGACGCAGCGACGGCTCCGCCGTCGCCTCACAGCTCAGACAACCATAAACGTAAGACACAGCGCTCACATCTGACTTCGTCTCGATGAAAATATTCCTTTGTGATGTTTTCCTCTTCCTCTGGGCAGCTCAGAAGGGCTCTGATGGAAGCATCATTCCCAACGACTACTGTGACTTCTGCTTGGGAGATCAGGACGCCAACAGGAAAACGGGGCAGGCAGAGGAGCTGGTGTCCTGCTCCGACTGCGGTCGCTCTGGTGAGTTCGCCGCCCAAGATTCTTTTGCTCCCCAGAACGGCGAACGAGTTGCACGTTTTAAAGCAAGACAACAAAAACAGGGAAACCCCAGAAGGTGCCAGAACCGTTAGAATTTGAGATGAGTTGATGAGCGCAAATGATGCGACGCTTGAAAGTATTTGCCTCCTCACAGAGTTTGTGAGAATTGTGAATGTTTCAAATACATTTTAATGCTGGAAAAATCATATCCGGAGTGAACACAAAATGTGATCTTCAAACGATGATTCTTTTTATGTGCGGATTTACGTCGGTTCAGAGGAATTTTGGCTTGAGGCAAGTCATTGCGCTTTAGCTTGCGACATGCTTTTCTTTTTGCCTATTTGCTGTTGTCAGACAGCTTCTATTTAAGCAATGTCTTGACTCTACAGATGTGGCAATAATTGGGTCTGGATGTGGTAAATAAAAAATGTGGTCAATCGCATTTTAACAACGAGGGCAATTATTTTCTGCGTCTTGGGCCAGGTTGGTTTGGATGCAGTGTTTGGAATAATTGTGACAGAAAAAGGAAAACGGGAGAACTATGTAAGAGAACCAAACAGTTTTACACTGAGGTTAGCAACATTAATAATGGATTATCTTAATATACAACATAAGACTAGGATTAATGCCTCTACCAAGCATGTGTGGATTGTCTCCAGTACTCCAGCTTCCTCCCTCTGTCCAAAGAAAGTTAGGTTAATTGATTACTCTAAATTGCCTTTAAGTATGAGCGTGTGTGTGTGCATGGTTGTTTGTCCTTTGTTTCTCTTTGTTGCCCTATGACAGAATGGAAACCTGTCCAGCTGCCCCGCCTCTTGACCAATGGCTGCTGGAAACAGGCACCAGCCCCCTGTGACCATGCAAGGACAAGTGGGTGTAGATGACGGATTGGATGAATTATTTTTGTTTCTAAAATAATAAACCAATTTTGTGTGTGGGTGTGCGTGTGTGTGAAACAATTTAAAGTTACACAACAAAAGACTCGGAAGATTTATGAAAAAATGTAAAGATTTATCATAGATTTGACAAAGTCTGAACTTTAAAGAGGTTTTCATCCCTTTAGGGAAGCCCTGACTGGTTCCCCACCCTAAATGTTTTAGCATCCATTAAGCTCTGCTTGAAAGTCAGTGTACGTTGTGGAGGTTTCATGTTATAGACAAATACAAGTTGAGGTAGTGATGTAATGTGTTATTAGTTGTTTGTGCATTCGTATTTAGCCACATTGAGTCAACGTGGGAATATGACAACTTGAATATTAAGACATTTAAGATAAATAAATGGATAAAGCTCAGTCAGGTTCGAAGAGAAGCTCCTATCAAGGTCAATTTAAAACTTGCCACATAACAAGCATTTCTATTTTTGTGGGTTATCAATGACCTCAATAAGTGAGACTGAACAGATGAAAAAACTGATATTCCCCATTTTTAATATCTGCTGCTTGGTTTCGTTCTGCATGCCTCGTCTGACTCCATCCCTCTGCAAGGATTTCTGCTTTCAGATGACATGCCGTCACTGTTTGTTTTCTTCAGCTTCGTGCATTATGAGGCTGCTGTTGTGTGCATCTCTTTCTTCCACATCCCCCCCTCCCTATTCGCCCCCTCTGCTTTATTCATCCCTGCAAATCATATCTCAGATCACCTGCAGGGAGAAGGCGGAAAAATGCATTTGAGCGAATGGGCTTTGTCAGTACAGGAGAACAGCGAGCCAGTGTGACGTTGCCTATTTTCCTCTGATGCCAAGGTTTCCATTTTAGCTGGAAGACCACATTAATATCTTCACATTTAGACAAGTTAGAAGAACCACAAGCATCAATTTATTTTGTTAAGATTTTATGAGATAAACCAATACAGACAATTAAATAATCGCAAAGTAGATGGACGGGGATACGTTATTTTAGAATAGTGGGAAAAGTTATATTTTTTACATTAACAATTATTTGTATTAAGCATTCTCAAGCATGCAGAAAGATATTTTGTCAGATTAAAAAAAGAAGCCTTTCTGACCATGTAACACACTAAATTTGATGTTCACCTGAATGCACTACGATTACAGTGAATTGTGAGTATACGGAGGCTTTACACAAATTATTTACACAAAGGTGCATAGACATGTTCACACAGGTGAAATGAGGGTTGCATTAATTTGTAAATGGCATCAAAAACTCGAACGACAGAAAGTATTTTTATACACTAGAGAATAAACATCATTTAAGGTGGAAATTTCTTGTAAAATCTGTCCAATAACATCTCTCCTTTTGTTTTGTTTTTTGATATTTTTTTTACCTTGCTGCCCCTCCAAAGGTCACCCCACATGTCTGCAGTTCACAGAGAACATGATGCAGGCGGTCAGGACGTATCAGTGGCAGTGCATCGAGTGCAAGTCCTGCAGTCTGTGCGGAACCTCCGAGAACGATGTGAGCGTCGTCACGCTATAAGGCTTAATATACAACATAAGACCGGGATTAATGCCTCTGCCACGCACGTGTGGTAGAGTCCAACACGTCGTCGTGTTGGACTCTACCACATCTTCTGATGTCGAGTGTGTGTGTTTCCATTCAGGACCAGCTGCTGTTCTGCGATGACTGCGATCGGGGATATCACATGTACTGCTTGAAGCCTCCGATGACCCAACCTCCTGAAGGTGAGACAGTTTTTGACATTTTTTTAAACTCTTTTTTTAAACCAAAGACATCAAACTATATAGGTCATGCGCTTTATGTTTGAGAGAGGTGTCAGGGTGAGGCTATATATGGAAAGAGAGAGGAGAGATGATTTCTCACTGTGTCTTTCCAGGGAGCTGGAGCTGTCACCTGTGTCTGGACCTGTTAAAAGACAAGGCCTCGGCTCACATAGAAGCATAATAGAAATCATCGGATTCTTCACATACACACAGCACCATGGAAAAGCATTGCTACCCCTTCAGAGACCACTTTAGAAAACCTTGAAAAGTGTGGCATGCCCCAAATCCAAACTTTAGTTTGACTCTTTTCACTTTTTGGTTAGCCAAGTCCACACTCAAGTCTCTTGATGACACCATTCATCTGGCATCTTCTGGTGGCTTTCCTATCAACAAATCTAACATTCTCGCCTCTGGGTGGGCAGCCCTCAGCACCGCCTTGGCCGACTGGTTATGTTTTTATAATCTTTTTCTATCTCAACCTTATTGATATTAAAAAGTAGCCGAGTTTTGAAGGAAAATCTGCCGCACTGGATTTTATTTAGCGATATCAATGTAAAGGGGTTCGATAATACAAATGCATTCCACACAATACAAACTTTTACTTGAAAAAAAAAATTAATCATTTGCTTTTCCTCCCACTGCAATTATGCACTACTTTGTGTTGGCCAATCAAAAAAAAAAAAAAACTTTAAATGAGGACGTTACTTTGGCCGATTGTGGAAACTTTTCTGCCATTTTTAGCCGGGCACGGTACACAATAAGTGTTTGTGCATACTTTTTGCAGTTTGGTGGAGCCACACATGTGGAGGAAACTTTCTCGACAGAATTTAAAACCCACACAGAGATCGCAAACAGCTCTTGAAAAAACGCCTCATGCACGCATTCCAGTACATTAGCAGCTTCCTGTTTAAGAAGACAAACCGTTTACCTCTCGTGTAGCCAAGCAACTCTCAACAGATGCACATGTCATCAGCGTGCAACCTCGACCGCAGGTCAGCGAACAGCAGGTCTACCGTTCAAGCACATCTCTACCTCACCACCCAGTGGACGTCAAGGATCCAAGGCAGAACCGATAGCCCGCCGTTGTTTTTTGGTTTTCTTAAGATATACGTGACAAGTGTTTAGAAGGTGTCTGCTTCGGCGTGTCACTTCTTTTCCTCTGCTGCTCTGCGGTTTCCAGCCAGGAGAAAGCTGAGTGAGTTTGACTGATTTCTGTTTAAACTTCTCCCTCCAGCTCCGCTCCGATGTTTAGACTCTGCAGTGACATTCCTGGCTTATATCTGGGAAGGCTCTGCACTACACTTCCCAGGTTTTCACCGGGTCGTGTCAAACCTCGGAAATTTACGTGCAGAGCCGAAAGGAAATGAAGGGACTGAAAACGTTTTGATTATTGTTTGTTTTGTTTGTTTTTTGTAATCAGCGTCTGTCTTCTGTATCCTTAGAGTTAGTGTTATTTCTGGTGCTCAGCAAACAGATGATTTCACCTTTCTTTATAATTACGTATTTATATATTGCTGATAATCGCTAAGTCATGCTGTCAATGACCTCATTCACTCTAAATCACGGATTCCCAAACACTTACTGTTCCCATCTCAACAAAAGACTATTTATAGCACAACTGCGTCATCTTTTACAGATAAATTATACCATTAGTTCCATTTACAAGACAACACTGCTTAGATTATGTCCAAAGCATAAGTAAATAAAGACAAACAAATTGTAAAATATGACTCATCAGCTGTATTATCACTAAGCTAACGCTTCACTCCATCAGATTGTTTAATTTCACACATAATACTGGATTCTGTTAATCCCAAAGACGACGCCTCATTAATTAACGCTGATTCCTAATTTTTATGGTGGGAACCATTGCAATACTGCTAACTAAACTCTAGTTCTGAAAAAATGTGTTCTTCATTATAAACTCTCATAGCAATTGAGATTTAGGCAAGACTTCTTGGTGAAGAGGAGCAAAAGCTGCTGAAATATGCAGCTTACGAAACAAAACCCTCAGGCGAAGATGTATAGAAATGATTCATCGCTACACATTTATCCTTTTTTTTTTTGCAGAAGTAGAAACTCGTGCTGGAAGTTTGGAAAAGAAAAATCTTGACTTTGAATATATTCAGTCGGGAAAAAGACATTAAGAAATCCTTCTTGCTGAAGCAATCATTGGTGCCACAATAATTGGTATGTCTGTTATTAGTTTTATTTTTATTATTTTGCACTTAGAAAACCTGAGGCAGCTACAGACGTTGGTTGCTTAAACATTTCTGGGTTTATTTGTCTCCTATTCATATCATAATCTCAATGAATGTTGTGTTGAGTTTCAGTTCAGACAGAGTCTGCCAGATTTTTTAAAATAATAATCAGGGAACAAGAGAGTCAGGCCCACAACATCACAGATCTTCCACTTCAAGGTGTTTTTTTAAGTGGAAATAAAAATAAAAATGTATTTGGTAACATACCTACTTATGTACTGATCATGACAAATTGCGACAAAAGAAACACATTTCCAAATCATTTTCTTAAATATAAAACTTTTTAAGCTAATGTTTACAGTACAAAATGTATATATATGTAAGTATTTCTAGTGGCAATAGTGTTTACTGTATCTTTTTTGACCTACAAATGGCACAACAGGCTTGGCAGACGGAAAATTATGTTAAAACAAAGCTTTTGTACAAACAAGAGGTATCACTTCGACATAACCCCTAGGTTTGTCTCTGTGTCTCAAATATTTTTGGTGGACATATGTTTGTTCTTCATCCTGTGAAGTTACTCACACTGGGAAGAGTATGCAGAAATTTTACTGAAGTAAGAGTAGTGATACTTCATATTAGTATTATTTAAGCAAAAGTAAAAAGTCTGGCATAGTAAAACTACTCCTAAAAGTAATTGTTTTCTGAAAAGTTACTATAATGAACATATTCCTCTGTGGATTACTTGATTCACTTTGATGTGGGATTTCCTCTGCTGCAAAATAAATGGACTCAAATTTCCCCCATTGTTAATATTATATTAGCTGAGACGAATATAATAAATAAATCCAGACAAAAGATGGATTTATTTGAAAAACCTTCAAGCATTCTAACCAGAGGATGCGGTGAGTTTGAAGGGATGTGTGGATCAAATATTCAACTATCTGGAATATTTTGTCCTTTAATTGCAGTCTCTGTTTCGTCTTTTAAAGACCAAATAAGCAAATGCAGCATTTTAACATGCTGAACAAGACGTGCTTAATGCCCACTGCCCAGATATGCTTGTCTCCAAATAAGTCTGTCCAATAAGCAAAAAAGGAAGAAAAAAAAAGGGAAAAAATTAAATATTGTATTTGTGTCTCATTGTTGTGTGTTTGTTTTTGATACTGCCTTCCACGGACAATCAAACTGTAGCATATAATTAGTATATTAATAACAATGAAAGATTTCTTATGGCTAATAAAATCTGCGTTTTTTTTTTTAAATAAGTCAATGTGTTCTTTTGTATAATAATTTCACGATAAGATTTTGTGCAGCTTTTTGTTAATCTAAATTGTCAAATTTGTGTCTGAATAAAGACTTCTCCATAACTCCATGTTAGGAATGTTTTTAGTGGTCATTGAAGGATTTATGTCTGTATATGTATATATATATATATATATATATATATATATATATATATATATATATATATATATATATATATATATATATATATATATATATATATATATATATATATATATTTTTTAAATAAAATTTAAAAAATTATTTTTTTTAGTTTTTTTTACTTGAAGAAATACATGGTGTATATACTTGAAGAGATACATGGTGTTATTTTTTTACATTACCACTAGAGGTCAGTAATGAGCTACTGAAGATCTGTATGTCAGTGGTTCTCAAAACATTTAAAATAAGAAGCACAATAGGAAGTACAACATTTCTAAATTACGACTGTTGCCCTAAAATCCAACATGGCTACCTTGCATGTAAAATCTCATGACAATCATAACACAAAAACAGGTTAATCTGTATTTCAGAATGGCCCTTTTGTGAACATGCCAGTTGTAAAAAAATATTTTCTTAAAGCGTCTTGAGACAACGTGTTGTGAATCAGCACTACATAATTAAACTAAATTAAATGTTTTGTGTTTTTTGGACTTAATCAGGACATCACTTTCCAGTATTGATTCTCTGGACAACACTCCAAAATAATCAAATAATGACAAAGTATTCACTTGTTTATGTTTTATGGGTTTACATAAATTTCCAAGGCTTAGGCGCTACAGGGACTGTGATCATATTGATGTCACAGTGTTTCTGATTTTGTATTTTTATGCCCATCTCAGCAGGAGGTAGTCATCTCTGTGATGAAGGACAGAAAAGCGGTTGTGGGGAAGCTGGGATTTGTTAGAAGTTGCTCCAACAGTTCCTTGCCTTTCTCTCTAGTAGTCACTGAACACATCGCCCCTTTCCACATGCGAACCATTGATCCACCTGGTAGAAGACGAGATCATTATCGACCTTTGGAACTTAGTGATCCAAATTGGAGATGTTTTACATTTTTCTTGTGACTGTGTGTCCTACCAAGAATGGTATTGATGTTTTTCATCCAGGAGAAAATGGTGAGTGAGTAGTTCTCCTCTGGAGTCAGATCAGCAATGTTTGGAGATGCATCCCCCGCCTATAGACAGGAGTGAAAAACAATAGACGAACATTCAGCAAAATGGAGATACTAAAGTAAATACTTCAGTGACGATGTAAGTACCCGTAAAATTCGGCTTGGCAGAGGATTCAGGAACAGCACAGACTTTTCCAGGTTGGAGTGGAAATGAGCTGCCGCAACATACTCTGCAGAGTCCAACCAGCTGTCTGCAAATGACTGCTCCTCAGCGGAGTAGTGGCTCTTCCTGAAGGAACAAAAGCCAGAAGATGACACAAGGAAAGATAAAATATTTGGAAATATTCTGGCTGAAAATATTTTAGAATTGCAGTTAATGTGATTTTGATATGTTTTTTTTTTCAAAGCTAGACAGCTGCAAACTGAGTAAATTGTTGAGATCTTTGAACATCCACTAAATTGTGTAACATGCAAATTCCATGGAAAGGCCAACATCCAAATTCATAGGTGGGTGGATTACTTGACGCTGCATGTTGAAGAGGCGTAAGTCGTGGCCATTTGAGCTGTCCAGTAGAGACCAAGGATGGAGTCTTTCTTCTCGTTGTCAGGTAGAGCAGACTCAGATGTTGGCTTAAGAGCCTTAAAGACACATGTTGATCATTAAAGTCGTAGAGATACAGCTCCTTAATTTGGAACATTATTAAAATACGGAAAGTGCCACACAGAGTGATCTATTTCAAGTATTTGTTTTTGTTGTTTTGTATTATTACATAATTTACATTTGAATGTTACATTATGCCAATGACAAAAGGGATTTTTTTTTAATTAAAATGTTGTTAATGCCATATTGTGGCCTTCAAATTCATGGGAAGACAGCTTTAACATTGTCGTGGAGACCCTCCACATGCGAGGTAAGGCAGCAAAGGTTCCACCAAAATGTGTCTTTGCACAATACTATATCAGTATTGGTAGTTTAAGGTACACAAACAACATTTCTGGGGTCATTTCAATACCTGGAAAAAAGCATCCCACTTGGTGATGGCATCAGAGTGGCTAGTTGAACATTCAGTGTAGGTGGTACAAAAGCCCTCTACACCTGCAGGCGCCTGCAGCTTGAGCTGGAAACATAGCAAGAATCATTGTATCCTCCACTATCAATATTCAGTTTGCATCTTGTATGGTGACAAACAACCCCCCCAAAAACACCTGAATGTTTTCTCCCAGAAAACCCTGTTGTGCAGCAGACAGGAAGGGCAACACTGAGGTGTAGTAGTTCATGCCTGAACAAAAAAAGAACAAAAAAAAAGCATGCAGAGACAGCCAGTGATTTCTCTGAGTGCTTTGTGTTCAGATTTTGTTTGTGACACTTACACCCCCAAAAACTCTCAGGTGAAATGCACATGGCGTCTCCTGTCTGCAGACCACAGGTTGTAGAACCCGACGGGTCGGCAAGGCGACCTGCAGAAGCAGAAGATTTACACTATGACATTTCCCAGTGTTTGGGGACATTTGGTAAATAATAAAATCACAATCTAAAAAGAAGCAAAAGGCTGCCTTACCTGAGGTTTGCATCCATCCAAGCTGCAGTGCCAGCCCCCAAAAGGGATTCTCGGTCTGGGTTGTCCCCAGGTAGTTCAGGTAAGGGTCTGTACCTGCAATCATCAGACGATAAAAACTCTGGCGGTTCAGGTAATTCCAAGGATTGGGAGTCAGAAACCCATCTTGCATAGGTAGCTCAGTCACTTGGCTGGTTGTTTGTGACCAAAGGTTCGGCAGGCCATTTTCCAGAACAACAGCAGAGCTGCTTAAAGTCACCGCCGAAGTGAGAAGGAGCCCAAGAGCCACCAAGCGTAACATGATCGTCTGGGGGGATGGAGAACAAGTGAGCCGGGAGTACACTCAGGACTGACTGCTGTTTGAGCTGACAGGGGTTATGTACTCTCGCTGTTCACATTTCTACACTCTAACTACCATGAAAAAGCAAACAAACACAATTAATCCTACAGCCTGCAAGATAAGCGGGTTCAAGTGCACACAGCTCAATACTGTCCAAATACCCAGACACAGCATGGTGCAAAGTACAACTGGCCACGTTATGTCTCCTTGAGCATTCAAAATACACATTTTAGTAAAGAAAAAAACAATGAAGGACACTGGCTTTTGAAACCATTTGGTTCCACGAAGAAAGACAGAAAACAAAAAAAAGCCTCCATGATTTGGAGCTTTTAAAACCCACACCAGATCTGCAAGCATCGTCACATGAAAGGATGATCTATGAAGCCGATACAACCTGTCAGGACCACATTTCGCTTGCATTAAATGGTGATCATAGTCTGTCAGAGGTTATATAATGATTAATGACAGACTTATCCATTGATTGCTTAAACTCACTAAACTTTGCTATGCTAACACTGCACCTGTCTGCTCGTAACGGCGTGTAAGAACAGGTGATGTTATCTAATGTATTTTAAAGAGCATGTCAACACTAATTCCAAAGTACCAAGGTTCAGAATGTCCCTGCAGAGTCTGAGACCGTAAAAATAAACCTCACAAAACAGCAAGCAGTTACACAGGGTTGGAAAGCAAATGTTGTTTAGGTAGGTCAAATACCATCAAATTTATTTTGTTATTTCAATGATTATGACTAAAAGATAAAAATCCAAGATTTAATGTTTCAGGAAGTGGCTCCTTTTACATGACTTACTGCATGACTGCGGCACTGCCCAGGCATTTTAACAGCAGCTTTCATGCTATGTGCTTCGTTGGGTCTGGTGTCTGTCATCTTCCTATTGACAGCACTCCATAAATTTTGTGTGGGGTTGAGGTCAGGCACACGATGGTCATTGAACCAGCTTTTGGTACCTTTGGCAGTATGGGCAATAGCCAAATCCTATTGGAAAGTTAGATCAGCATCTACATTTTTTTGCTTCAACCAAGAACATGCACTCTGAGCAAACAGCTTACTTCGCAATGATTATTTGTGGCTAACCCTGAAGGTTGCCAGCAACTTTGCTTTCAAACATTAGTAGTTAAAAAAAACACACTCCAGTCTGTTTCCCACTGTGTAATTATTTCATTTATATAATATAAGATTTAAAACAAATATTTTAAATGAGTTCCAATATAAAAAAAATAAAGAGTTTAGCAACATGGAGTTCCTGGGATTTTTTCCCCACTTCTCTTCATATCCCCTACACTGCATGCTATAAACATCATTTAAAAAAATGTTTTTTTTTTTACTTATTTTTGTTTGTTTAAATGTTTAAATTCATCTTAGTTGAATGGAACGTTCTCTCATCTTTCCCATTTTGTAGAGTGGAAAGTCCTCTGTGTCACATTATATTCCCTCCCCCCAAGTCTCTTGTATCAATTTTATTCCCTCCATTTTTATTTTATTTTTTGTCTTTTTGTACAGAAATCAACATGGGATTTTGTTAGATGTTCTATTTCGCTCATTTTACACCGATAAGCATCTATAACGGTGTTTTATTCTATCACTATTTCTTTTTTTTCCCTTTTCGCTGCTGCTGAGATTTTCTTGCTCCATTATTAAAGCCCAGCCGACGATGCGATGGTGGCTGGGCGCAGACGACATCATGTGACAGGGGAGTGGCTCCAAATCAGGAAACACACACACAAACAGCACCGCTGCGACTCTCTGCAAAGGTAAAGTCCTAAACTTCTCCAGAACCGAGCCCAATCCGGCCCTGACAGAGATCCACACGTCGGGGTCAAAACCCGCTTTTACGTCGCCGCTTTGTATTTAGCAGCGAAACGAAAGTTAAAATGTGTGGGCGTCGAAATTGCTCACTTTCATGCTCTCCGTGTTCGTGTCAGCTGTTAGCGTTTGCTACTAATAGTTTCCACGACTAAAATAACTATTTAGTTTCTACGTGAGATAAAGTCGTTTGAATTCGTCCCGTTTTAAATCCCTCGAGTGATTTCCGCATCGCTCGTGCTCCCAATGGGACGCACTGACATTGCACAAAAAAAAAAAAAAAAAAAAAAAAAAAGACAAAATGAGACGTAAATAACGTCAGAGGAGAAATACTAGGGAACTAAGAAGCAGAAAGGTTGACTGAGGTGAATGCGACAGGTTAACAGCTGGCTCTCAGCAGGCCGGGCTCGGTTCCCTTAACTTACAGGAAGTGTGCATGGCTGACCCACATTATGATTCCTCTGGCCCAACCCGGCTGCACTGCAGCAGATAAATCCTTGAAACCAAACTAATCCGCGCTTGTTTTAAACCAAGGAGCCTCTTTCCGTGGGTGGGCGCCGCTGAGTCTGCGTGCTTTAATCAGTTGTTTGCATCTTGTGTTAGTAGCTGTGTAAATTCATGATGTGTTATTGTAAATAACTTTTTACAGTACATCTTGACCGGCTTTTTTTGGACTTTGGTCAGCAAAGTGCGCTGTAATAAAGTGATATGCACCAATCAGCCTCTCATCCTCATTTTATCTAGTTTAGAACAAAAGTAAAATGTTGTGTTGTATACAGTTTTTTTTTTTTTTTAAATACCTGAGAAAGTTTGGAACAAAATGATCAAGCAGGAAATGGGAAGTAGATGGAAAAAAACCTAAAAACAAAACAGGTTCCACCCAAGATATATTTAAATAAAACATATATATATATATATATATATATATATATATATATATATATATATATATATATATATATATATATACACTCATACTATGAGTTCTCATAGTATGATCGCCTTTAGAGACGTTGCCTCAGTTTTAGCTTATTGTTGTATTCATGCAAAAATGTACAACAGAACTGTGTCACATGATTGTATTGATTATAATGGAAACAAAAAGCTGCATAAATGACTTACTGAATTGAACCTAATTTGTCATGTTGACTGGGGTGTACCGATTAATTGGTCTGTTGACTCATGATCACTACAAGGAAACCTAACTTGAAACACCTTATTGGCGTTAGCTTGACCTCAGCTAACCTCAAACATTGTGATATTGTAAAAGCAAAGGACTGCTGTGCACTTTATTTTGCCAAGAGGCTCAAAACAGACCTGTAGTCTAATCTGTTGTGCAAGTTTTGTTAGTTTATTTTTTTTAAATGTGACAAATTAAACACTAAAGGAACTGATGGTTTTAATTCAGTAGTTCTCACTCATATGCAGTTTAACCAAGTTTTTAGTGTTTCACAGTTATTGTTCAAAATAAGATTGGAACATTGAAGGCGTTTGGGATGTTTATACATTAAAATAGATACATAATCAATTGGTGTCGCCACAAAAAAAAAAAAATCAATGAAATTGTTTCTTAAGAAGATCCACATACATCTGAAGTTATAGCTGGTATTACCCGACAGTAGACACTGAGAACTCCCATGCATATTCCCTCAGATGGAGGCTACATGCTGAAAGCTACTGTCATGTGTTAGTCACGAGAGCAGCAGAGCGGCAGCAGCTACGGTTATGAGATCTCAGCGTGACTTCATGAATGAGCTCTGATTGTGTTGCCGTGTGTCACTGCAGCTGTCGCCATGGCGTACCACGCTGGGATTCCGGAGGATCCCAATGTTTTGGTCCAGAACATCAGCTCCAACATCCAGCGGATCACGCTGCTGAGTAATGCAGACGCATTATCAACCCTCCTTGGGGTCACAGCCACTTTTCTGAATCACAGAATTGAGATCGTGATGTTCATTTCTCCCTTCTTGCTCAGCCTCGGAGTTGCAGAGAGCGGTATTTCTGCTGGGGACCGACCAGGACAGCAACCAGCTCAGACAGACGCTGTGAGTAATTTAGATGTTGCTTGTCTGGACTTTTTTTTTTTGTAATATTATTTGACTAAAACTATAACTTAAAAGTACATTGAGGTACCTCGGAAAACCTGCCCACACACGTTTATGTGGATAAAATAAATCCTTCTGACTTAGAACCACAAGAGGATTTATTTTTTCTTTTACCAAATAATAAATAAATGCTTTTTTTCTGCAATAGTCAACAAAAACAACAGCAAGGCAACCAGCTGGCAAAAGACACCGACAAACTGATGAAAGTCTTCACTTCCCTTCCTATTGGCCCAGATCAGGTACACATTTTTAAACGGCTGTTTTGACCTGTGAGAAGTCATAATAGTAATTTTTTTGACTCTGTTTTGGTGGCTTTAGCGGCAAAGGAAGCTACAGAAAGATCGGCTGCTGAACGACTTCTCCGCTGCTCTGAACAGCTTGCAGAAGACGCAGCGGCAGGCGGCCGACAAAGAGCGGGAATTTGTCGCTCGGGTCCGAGCCAGCTCCAGACTGTCGGTGAGTTAAGTGGCCTCCTCACTGGACCATGAAAGTCTAAGAGCTTCTGAGCAGCTTTTAGTGTTCCTGTAGAGATTACGTTATTTTAAATGTTCAAAAGAAAATTTTTATCTAATTGTTAATGGAATATAATGGTACAAATTATAGATCTGGTCTTATTATACTGCTGTGAACCTTGTTTCAGCAGCAAAGTTGTTTTCTTCATGACTTGCGCCCTTTTGTACATAAAGTTACCAAAAAATAATCAGAGGAAGTTGGGAGATTTTTATACTGAAGTTTTACATTCATGTGTTTCACACTGTCAAATAAAAACAGTGTCTTTTGTATATAATGATTTCTTCATGAGTCAGAACAAAACAGGAGCAGAAACTCTTGAGGTTTATGATATAATCTTACAAAAACTGCAACATAACCCATCAAAAACTACTTTGAGCTCTGCAGCATGAGTGTTTTCAGTTTCAGACCCTCTGGCTGTTGATACAATGCTGAACACGGGTAAACTCATGCAAAATGTATCCGAGACGATACAGTGAATTTGTATCCTCCTCCACAGTACGCTCTGGAACTGCTGGTTGAGGCTCAGAAACAAATCACTGATGTCTGGGAGCTCTCCTCATATTCTATGGAAACGGCTTAACGCAGATGTAGCTGTCGCCAGGCCAGTGTGACCGGATGGCCAAGAAAGCTCCAAGTAGATGTCTATTTGCTTTTTGCTGCTGGCACACAGTGAATTAGGGCCTGACAAAGTGGAAACTCGTCTTGAATAAAATCACCTAATTTCTCAACCATCTTGCAGAAGATTTTGCTGATATGTGGAAATTGGACTTGACATCTAACTGGACTCCCGTCGTGGTTGAAACAAAAATAACTTGGTTCGTCTTACATCCCTTAAAAAACATTTGTAACAATCTTATATAACACCAGATGGATGAGAAGTTCAGTTTCATAAGCGGCTCTCATGTTCCCTTTCTCTCATGCAGTACTGTGTTTAGACTTTGATTCCTTTGGGGAAGCCAACTTACTTGGCAACTCTCTTCCCTCTTATCTCACCAGACAGAGAAGTTTCTGTACCGACGTTTTTCATTTTAATAAGCAGGATCAGTGACTTTCTGCTTTAAGTAGCGCCTTAGGAATTGTACTACTGATGCCACATGAGGGTATAGTTGATGAAGCACTTCATAGAGATGACATTTTATGCTTACTGAATCAACGTTTGGCTTAAGGAAACTGCTCTCTGAGCAAACTTTCAAAATAAGACACATAAATATGTACTTTTTGTCTTTTTTAACAGGGAGGTCAGCCTGACGACAGCTTTGGAAATGCACCTCCAAGGTTGAGTCAGAAGCTTTTAATCATAATTCATATTCCTTCTGATGCTGCCATTGTAGCAAAAGTTTCAAGTGAAAATCTGTGTGCATGCAATCATGCAGTTACTCCCAGGTGCAATCACAAGCGGAGATCATCACCGAGGAAGACCTGAGACTGATCCAGGAGAGGGAGACGGCCATCAGGCAGCTGGAGGTAGGATTCACACGTGAAGCGACTGCAGCGGCTCAGCTTTGTGTTAGCAGTCAAACATGCGAGCAGCACCTCATGCCTTGTGTTCTTTGATTTAGTCCGACATCACAGACATAAATGACATCTTTAAGGATCTGGGCATGATGGTTCATGAGCAGGGAGACATGATAGGTGAGTATCAGTTATTTTTTTTGTTGTTGTAAGGCTAAACTACAGAAGAACAAGAAAAAAGAGCCCCTTTATTTGTTGTTTACTCCCCGAAAATGCAACAAAATTTGTCAAATTTACATAGAATAAGTTAAAAATACGTACCATAACCTAGCCCCATGGACAATAGTAATTTTCCAAGTGTTGTGGTGGCACAGGGGTAAAAGCACAACCTATACATGAGTATACCTATAAGTAGAAACACATTCCCACATTTTAATCCTCAGCTTCCTGCCGATCTCATCTGGAATTCTTGTACCTGAAAATGTCAATGTTTCCAGCTAAAATCCCAGTAGAGTTTAGCAAAGCTTATTATTAAGACTTGTTGACCCAAAGCTGACGCTCTTTGCTGCAGTTGTCTAACACTCATGTTTGAAAAAACAAACTCCTCCTTTTTCATCGGCTCCATTGTTGATGGCTGGCAAAATAAAATATGGGTCCTTCAGCAGAGTGACTCGTGGCTTAAAAATAGGTCTTTGTTTGTTTGTACACAAAGAAACAGAACATTATGTCTGACTAGTTTGATGATGCTGGAAACTCTGATAAACTCAAAAGGTAAAATATAAATCAGAAAAGCCTCACTTAAATTTTTAAAAGGATTGCTAGGAGTGTCAGCATGTTTGGCTCTGCTAATTTTAAAATTTCCTTCTTCATATTGGATTGTTTTTAATAAAAATTCTCAAATTGCATGTAGACCAGGTGTCCGCAACCTTTAAAACCTTATTTTTATCTTCTATCCAGCTGAACAAAATTAGCTGATAACCAAAAAGGCGACATAATACAAATTAGCTTATTTTTATACTATATATAATAAGATTTTTTTGAAGTTAAAAAACACATTTACTTTTGTATTTAGCTTAAATATTAAGAAAATCATCAAACTTTTACACAAAGAGAATTAATGTCTTTTCCTCATTTGACCAGTTTTTTACAATGGAAAACATTGTTAGAAACACACATAGATTGCACCCAATGGACAAAAATTATGTCAGAAAGAGAATATTCCCAACAATAATGGAATCATTTTTATTTCTGATCAGGCCCCTGATTTAAACAAAGGCTCCATGATCAAAGGGACACACAAATTGTTCTGCAACGCTCTTCTATTGCTTTAGCATCTCGATCACTAAGATCTATGGCAGCTGTGGGGGGAAAAAAATGTAACAGTTGAAAGTTCATCCAACTCGTCAAATATATTATCAGCAAATGAAATGGGAAATGTTGCATCCATGCTGTACTTTGTGATTTCAATTTTGCGCACACTGAAATTAGGACTCAATATATTGTGCAACTCCAACTGATTAAAATGCAAAGAAGATTAAATCTGTGTCGCTGCTGATGTGTTGGCAAAAGTTGGTAAAGCTGATTTTGTGTGGTTCGCTCACTTATCTTCTCTAAAATGAGTCTAGGAAATTTGGAGTTCATAAAGCTGGGTTACGGTTTAGGATCATGTCCACTCTGACGTGAAAATGGTGTGCATGTTTTGTGTTTTGCAGACAGTATAGAAGCTAACGTGGAGAGTGCGGATGCCCATGTTCAGTCTGGCCAACAGCAACTTGCAAGAGCTGCGGAATATCAGGTAAAGTATAAAACAAGAAGAACGTACATAACGGAGATGAATGGCTCAGAAGTAGCTTTTAACATTAGAAACGTCAGTTTAATCATGATGAAGCAGAGTGTGAGATCGCTTCGCCCTCCGTAAGAGGAAGACTTGTGAGGCAACACCATTAGTCACGGAGTTCATAAATAACGGCACAGAAAAAAAAGAAGAAGCTTGCTCACTTCTAAGTAATGTGGATCATCCATCTGCAGGATTCTTAAACAGTCTGAAAGCTACAAAATTTGACTTGTTTTCAAGACATTTGGGAAAATGTGAAATGTTCTTTGTGTTTGTATTCCACTTATTAATCGTATTGGGGTTTTTTAAGTTACTGAAAGCTGTAGATACATATTCATGAATACAAACAGGGGATTTTATTGCCTTTTTTAGCCTCTTGATTATTTCAGCTCTGGATTTTAAATTGGACCGACAGTTCTTGGAAAAAGGATTTGAAATTTCAACCTGATCTTGTGATGTTGTGGTATCATTTAGCACTAAGTGATTTAAAGATCTTTGAATTTAAACTCAAATGAACCGGTTTCTAAATGTGACGGCCCCAAAGTTACTGCCAGCTTTGTCAGGTTGTCGGAAACAAAAACAAGTCAGCTCTTTGCCACACTGTTGAATCGGACGCAGATTTTAAAAGCAGATGTTAAAAGTGTGGAATTTCAAAATAAAGGGTAAAATATGTATCGCATATTTTAATTTAAGAAATAACAACAAAAACTAATTTTGATCCATTCAGTCCCTAAGAAAGTTGAATTTTCTTGCTTCCTTTTTTCAGCGGAGCTCCCGGAAGAAGATTTGCATCCTGCTGATAGTCCTGGCCGTCGCTGGTGTCGTAATAGGACTTATTATTTGGGGCGCTGTCAAAAAATAAGACCTTCCTCTTCTTGTTGATGTTGTCACCTTTGACAAAATATGAAACACAATCCCCCTTATCCTAAGTTGTCTGTCTATCTTACCGTCGTCAGCCTATTACAAAATTTGTTTGCCTTGTTTTTGACAATGATGGTAGTTTTATTGTGAAGGGGCGCCTTATGTGAATCATTTGATTTAGATGATAGTGTTTATTTTTTTTCTTATTGCTTCATTTAATAAGTGATGCCACAGCCATTTTCCAAGTCTTTCCTTTGAATCTAATGATTGTATAGATTATAGAGAATGTCTTGGTATAATGAATTAATATGGAGGTAATTATTGATCATCCTTCTCAGTGCTTCTTCCTGTCAGGTTACGAATTATAACTTCAGACAAACCAAATTCACCTAATGCTATGCTTTAAGTTGGGAATGTGTGCAGCAATCGAAATGATTGAGAGAATGCACATTTAGCAGATTGAGCTGCATTTAACACATTAAATAAAAATTTGAATGTAAAGCTGTCTAACATTCCAGACAATAGAGGTGAGATTTGTTCCTTAGGTTCTTTATTTCCAATCAAAAATAACACGTTTTGTGGGTCCAATAATGTATATACTGTCCATCCTGTACATAATTCACCTGGTGAGGGCTGAGAAATTCTGAGAAATGTTTTTTTTATTCCCCTGTTTTTTTTTTGTGTGTGTGGTTTATTTCAACCCACTGACATTTGACACTCCTGTGCAGCTTTACAATAATTGTTTTTTTTTTTGGTTGATATGATCTCATATTCATTTGTAAAAGAAAATATTCAATTACTGTAGTTCAGAAGAAACCGTGTGACCATTTATTGGACTGCTACTTATTATTCATTGTATCATATACTGTACATGACCAATCCCAAACACAAGCCAAAGCCCATGAAGGCCCTGGTATCGTATGTACAGTCTTGTAATAAAAGACAGACATTAATGCTACAGTTTCAGAAATGTTCTAATGCCTTTGTAAAATCTTTTTCCGATGTATGATAATATGGGGGTTTAGGATCTGATTGTAATTCTCAATAAATTACAGAACAAAACGAGTGCAGATTCCCTGTCACTGGATGGAAAAGCTGCATACGGATCGACATCTCAGAAATTAAATGTATTGTGAAAAGGTCTGACAGTTGTCACTCATTTCAAATGGTGAAAATCACATGGAGTAGATTCATCACCCATGGAGTGAAATATTTCAATACGGTTTCTGTTCATTTTGATGATTGTGATGAAACTTGGTGGAGATGCATTGAAAAAATAATTCAAAAGTACTGGATCCAAAAAGGACATTAAATGTCATCGATTCATATCTAGAGAAATCTTCTAGGTGAAGAATCTCCAGTAGCAGTCAGTCTTGCAATGAACCTTAAGAAGCCTCTGACTGTTGCTGTCTGATGGTTTCTTTACATGCTAACAGCTCAATGTAGCAGAGATGGTACTCTACAGTAACATTGTCTGCTATTCCCCCTCATTTGCTTTTGCTACATAATTTTAAATCAAGAGAAGTTGTGGTTTAACGTTACTCTTTTTTTCAAATTTTTGACCCTGCTCTTCATCCATGAAGTGTTCTTTTCAACTCTTCTGGTAATTTTGATTGTAGTTTAGTTCCTGTAAATCATTTAAACTTTTGACCTGCTATACAGATGTAAAAAACAATACGGTGTCGCTGTGGTTTCATAACCACCTCCATCTTCTAAACCTTTTTGACTTTTTCCATTAAATACTCTTTTCCCTCATCTGCAGCCTCTCTATGGCTGGACTATTGGACTTTGACCTCAGCACAGCCGTACATGACGTTCAAGCAAATAAACTAGATGCAAGAAAAGTCCTTATTTCACCTATTTTGATCTTGGGCTATTTTTTTTTTTTTTTTTTTTTTAAGCGCCGACAGACCTTGCTAATCTGGATCTGTCCAAAACCTGCATCTGGACTTCAGGTAACTTTCTTGTGCTTAAGGTTAATTTGTTCCCAATCATTCTGGAGGAGAAATATTTTTCACCGGATGGATTATTTTTTCTGAATATCTGTGCAAAAATGATCCTGTGAGATGACGTTGCACAAAGTGTGGTCTATTAAATGTTACTTCTCCCTTAAAAAGAATCTCTTTAATAACTACTTTTGCAACGTCCATATCGACACTATTGCACACATAACTGCAGAAAAACGTTTGCATCAAACACCATCTTGAGCACAGAGAGGCTCTGTGTTTTCTAATGTCAGACATTGGTCACAAGATGTACACATGCTAACAGATTTGACATTCATCTGCTGGTGAAATACTCATATTGCATGGTGCAAAAACCTCTTAAACTACTTGTTAATTTTTTTTGTTCCAATAGACATTTTGATCAGCTGCACTTAAGGCTCCTTGAAGGATCTTTCAACTTTGACATTTTCTTTCTGTCCACACTTTGTACTTGACATTGTTCAGCATAATGTGCAGTGTATGAACAATGAGGCATGTAGACAAGGGACGATAACAAATACTTGTGTCTCTAGAGGAAGGATGAAGCGTCTGAAAGTCTTGACTGGGAGAACGGGAGAGAAAAATGGAAAAAATGTCTTCAGAGACACATTAACCATGAAGGAAAGGTATCTGTAGTGAACGAGTTCAAAGCTGAGGTAGGAAATTTACATTTTTGCACAAGGTCTTGAAACGAGGCTGCTATTATTCCCTCTTATTCTTTTTGGGTTCACAGAGTTGGAAACCGCACAGTACATTATGTCCTTTCGTTGTTTATTGTGTGAACTGAATGAAGTAATGGCCAACAGAGCGCAGGGTGAGGGAACAGCCTGGAGTTACCTCATGCATGTCAGAGCAGACGGTGTTGGAGTTGGACTCGGGGATGGAAGTAGCAGGCCGCTGTGACGCAGGAGGAGAACTTTCCTTGGCAGGATGAGAGACGAGGCAGATTTGGATCTTGAGTTTGTAAATACAGTTTGGCGTCAGAAGGACAGGGAATATTTTCGGGGTCAAACTTAGAAAGTCACAGGTTGTCGTGAAGAGCCGAGCAGGATTTTCCTTTCCAACCAAAATTTCGCAGCTGTGGGAGCTCAGGAAGGCTTTTAAGGAGTTCAGAGTCACTGGCACAATTTTCGCATGTTTATTTGACCGGATAACGTGTCAAAAAGGTTAAAAGTGGAGGGTAGGACTGGAATCATACTACATAAAAAGATGTTTAGTTTTGGAAGTGTGATAAATGACTGTCTTTCCAAAATGCCCTGGGGAACCATAAACAATCCCAGGAACTGGACTAATCCCAGACTAAGCAGATTTACCTGAAGTCTGAAGTCATCTTATGTGATGAATAGCAGAAGTTACTCATCTGCACAAACACTGAGCTCACTGACATCAGGCTTGAATTTATGTCATTATTGAAATGGCAAGCTGCTCCTAGTTTTTCTTTCCACATGGAAGCTGCAACATGCTTTTTCCTGAAACATCAGTTTAATGCAAGGTGACTCTTTTCCATGTAAACAATCAAGGAAGAGGAGACTTTAATTTGCAATTGGCACGATGGAAGTATTCAAAGTCAAATGTAGAAAATGTTCCTTCGTAATTATAAAGTCCTAAATGTTTTCTTGGAAACTTAAAACAGCCATGTCTGTCCAAAGGATTTTTGTTTAATGGAAAAGCTTTTTCTCCTCTAAGGCTTACATGCATTCAAAATTATTTCCATGTAATCATGAACCTGGCAAACCCGCCTTATTCTTAAGGACTACGCAGTGGCAGAGGTGTTCTTGATATACAAAGAAGTGAATATAATCCTGTTAAAATGCTATTTTTTGCAATGTAAAACCCCCCCCACCGTACCAAATAAAAATTTGACGTTGAAAATATACAATAATATGTACACACTTTTTAAACTGATGCTTTAATGAAGTATAATTTTGTTTCTTCGGAGTCAATCAGCTTCCTACATTTTTCTGACACAGCAGTGTTTTCTGTCTAATCGAGTCATGGGATATGGTGAAGTCCTGGTGAAACTACCCTTCTGATAAACTCCTGCCTTTGTGCTCATTTGAATGTGTGCTTCAACTTCCTTGACAGACATCTGAAAGTTTAGAAATAAAAACCTGAAAAAAACCCAAAAAAACTATTTAATCTGAAGAAAAGCAAGTGATGTCACACTGTGGTGTCTTTTCTGACCCTGACCTTAAAGATCAGGGTCAGATCTTTAAGGTCTGACCCTGAAATTTTAAGATAGTTTAATTTTACTTTAGTTTAGCTAAGATAATATTCACCAAGATTAATCAACATTTGATGTCTGGTGTGACTAAACACTGAAACTGAGACAGAAAATGCTGTGCCAAATTTATTTGAGGGTTTGGATACGTTCACACTTTGCATTTCACATTTATATTTACATTTTCTCTACTAAATATTCTCTCTCTTTTTTTCAGGTAATTTGCACAGAATCTGTGTTCTTGAATGATTTATCATGGCGCTCTTTTTCTTTTTTCTGATAAAATTATCAAGAAAGTTTCGTAGGTATTTAGTCATTTGACTTTGTTCACTTCATCTTTCCAGATAATTAAAATAAATCTGGAAGGCTTATATTGTTCAAGTGAACGTTTCTTGAAAAACAATGCTGCCGCCAGAGGGCAGTGTTGCACCACTCGCAGATTCGCCAGTTTCATAACCTCCTATGGGAACGTTCATTGAATGTTTTCAGTTAAAATAGCAGAGCTAAATGTTTTGGTGCAGCCAGTACTGAACAGATTTCCTCCGACAACAGCCACTCAGCATAACTGCAGTGCAGACAGCGAACAGTGTGCATAGAGCAGAAACGTATTTTCTGAGATAAAAACCGGTTGGTTGAAATAATCCTCCCTGTAATATCACCACGCCAGTCAGAGCTTTGATTTTCCCTTCATTGAGTTTGATCACGTCTGATCATCAGCTTTAATCTGATTCAGAACTGTAGCACTGAGATTGATGTGGCCTTTGGAGCAAGACAGGGCTCTTCAGTCTGCTCTGAGGCTAAAACTGATGATCAGTTTCTGGAGAAAAGAGCACACAAGTATTGCATTTTTAACCATATATCCTCTTGCCTGTCCTCCTTCTCTCTCCACCTGCAGTGCTGAATCAGACTGTACATCTTGCAGTCTAAAGATTTTTTTAAAAACGTTTTACTCTTACCAGAAAAAAAAAAAAAGAAATCACTGCAGTGTTAACAGAATAAACGAGAATATTGTTTCAAGGATATTTTCATTCCTCAATGCACACATGGACAAAAAGCTCTTTCATTGGAAGCTCCAGACAAACTAAAGTGTGTTGTTGGCATCATGTGTTATCCGTCCACTTGTAATCCTCGGGGATGTCCCGACCTGTAGAGGGCAGCATTCCAACCTGAGACCCAGGAATGTGACATTTGTTTTGGAGAGCAGCGTGAGGAATGCACCGTTTGCTTCGAAAATGTCCTCTCTGTGTGGTGCATGAATATTTAGAGCAAAGTCATAAATAAAGATGGGATACAGTTGGCACTAATTGTATGACACCTGGCAGCACAACAGAAAAATGTGTCATCAGGTTTTTTTTATTTTTTTGTTTTTATTTTTTGGGGGATTTCGAGGCTTCTTTATATTCTGGTAAATATTGATGTTTTAAAAAGGAGGAAGTAGCCTTCGGCCATGAGACAGGACGTCCTATGCATGATTTATCACCTCTGCACTCACCTGTTGTTGTGTTTGCTTTCTTAAAGCACTTTCATTCGGTTTGAGTTGGGTCCATTTCACAAGAAGAGCGAGAAATTAAGTAAATTTGCAGCATTTCTTCGACATATTGTAGCTGTCTTGGCCTGGCCTTTGAAGGCTGAGTGGTTGAAGGTCACTCAGAAAGGGGCCCCTTGTTCGCTTAAAATCACAAAGAGCCAAATTCAGCACTTAGTATAGCTTAAGGAAAGGAGAGAACAGGAAGCTCATGTGAACTTCTAAAATACCAAGGCTGTGAAAAGTTCCCAGATGCTGTTGATCCGCCAAAAATAAAGACAAAAACCATTTTGGGAAAAAGGGTTCATGGGGCAGCCAGTGTTCGCTCTGCTTCCATATAAAAGCTGCCAGAAAGTCCTTATCTGTGTTGGAGGGATAGGTTCTAAGTTCAGGACAAAGAAACAAACAAACA